AATCCACGAATTACGGTTTGAACTGCTTGACCATCCACCTTACTCACCAGATCTAGCCCCAAGCGACTTCTTTTTGTTCCCTCATCTAAAAATTGCGCTCGGAGGACAGAGATTTTCGTCAAATGAAGAGGCAATCACCTTCGTGAACAATTATTTTGCAGAGAAAAACGCCGAGTACTATTTCGACGGGTTACAGAGATGGGAGCATCGCTGGGAGAAGTGTGTAGATTTACAAGGAGACTATGTTGAAAAATAAAAAACAATTTTCAGAAAAAATGACTTGTATCTTTGTTAGGTCGGAAACTTTTCAGACCACCCTCGTATATACCGGCATTACCTGCGAGATTATTGCGCGGCGCGATAATGCGCTACGTCGCGTCGAGGGCGGAGGGTGAGGGGGGGCGTCGAATATTTATTCGAGCGTGTCGCCATCCCCCACTGAGGGACGAGTCCGCGGCGCTATTTCGAGTTGGCGCGCGTTCATCCGACGCGCGCAGCTCGCAATAGAGCGGCTCGCTATCGGATCGTATGAAAAAAAGAGAAAAGAAAGGAAAAAAAGGAAAGCAGCTTGATACGTTACACCCACACGAAGCGGAGAGACTTGCTTGCGACTCCACCCCCGCTTCTCGTTATCGTTTTCCCATCAGAGCCTCTTCTTTTCGGTGTGATCAAAGTGAACCCATCGCCGAGTATCGTCGCATAGAAGGGTAGAGATTTAGCTCTCCACGAGCCCTAGCACGAGGTCCCCCGACACAGTCACCCGGGTCCCACTTCGCTCGCTCTCTCTCTCTCTCTCTCTCTCTCTATCTCTCTTTCTCTCCCTGCCTCTCTCGTAGCCCTTTGTGCATACGAAGGCGGACCTTCACGAGGCGTCGCACTTCCGCTACAAACACGAGCATCGGCTTTTGGAGGTCGGCCGACGCAAATTAAATTACGAGGCGTCGCTGAAACGGCGCGAACCTAATTGAAAACGAAAGAATTTACGACTCCGCGGTTCAAGGAGAATCAGTGTTTAAGTGCCAGCGCTTCAGCTGCGGCCGCGAGGCGTTAAAGGCGTTTAACGAAAAGGGATATCCTTTTTTTCAATTGGTTTTCCAGGCGCGAGAGATGCTGCGGAAAACGTCACTGGAAACGCGAAATGTTCGACGCCGGGTTCGGCAACATACGGTGGCACGTGTGAAATTTTCATCATCGTGATATCGGCAGATCCGCGTGCACGCGCATACGCGACGCGAATATTAACATTATTTGTTGAAATATGCGCCCGACACATGCGTCCGGAATCTGTTTAATCCGTCGTATTACGGGAAAAATGAAGAATGCGCGGATAAAGCGCTTTCCGCGATAATACCGCGCTCGCGAAATGCAGGACGAATTTTTCGAAAGGAGCAGTATTAACTCCACATTACGAGACAATATCCGTCGGTCGCTCAAAAAAAAGTCCAACGGGGAAGCTAATCCCGCGCGTAATACGTGCGCGCGGAATACGCGCGTCGAATATCGTCATAATTGTTACGCGTATAACGCTAAATGCGGCACTCCACGCCAACGTGCAACAAACGGGAGCAAGTGCGAAAGTAATTATGTAAAAGTGTCAGGCATTTCCTCTTAAGGGGATAAAACGTCGCCTGCGAGTTCCGCGCGCAAACTTTATTACGTCGTCGAAACTTGAATCGGCTTTAAGTTCTCTCCGTTGCGACGCGCAACGCGTCCCGTGCAAAAAGAGAAGCAACGAGGATAAACGATCGGCGCAGACACAGACAGGAGGGGAAAAAAATCGAGCGTCGATAGAAACAGTCCTGAGGCTAAAAGCTGTCCTCTCTGGTTCTCGACAGAAATCGAGGAACCGCTCGCGGGAGTTCGACCTTTCGATCGATACGTTACTAGAGAACGGGACTTGGGAGACATTTAGCCCCGACACCCTGTCAGGAGATCGTATCTTCAGGGTAAGGACACGTAAAATAAGCGCCAGACGCGGCGCGACGCGCGCGCGAGCATCCTATAGCTCTGCGTTTAATTAATTGGCCGGATTATAATTTTACGCGAGCTCTTTGCGTTGACTCACGAGCGCTTTTATATGTATATATCGATTGTACGTTAACCATTTTATCTGTAATAATTTATCTTCACATAATTACATATATATATATATTTTTTTTTCTCTTTCAATGCTACCACTGCCCGTCGATAGGACAGGCACTTGACCCTCGATTGGTTGCGCTCAATCGAATTATTCTGACGCTGGTTATAGCCGTTATATAGAATTAATAAATTAATAAATGAATGTAAAACCTGATTCTATAGTTTAACACATTGCGGACCAGTCATTTCATTGTCAGTCATTTTCAATGGCCAGAATCGAGGACTGCCTGTTTCCCTTTTAACAGCCAAATTCTCTACGAGAATTTGATAGAAATATAACAAATCTTTACACCAACCTTTACACGCAGGGAGTTTTTTAAGATATATAAATATTCATTGAATGAACAGTATCAGTCTTTCCTAGCTAAGATATATTTATAAAAGAACGAATAGAAGGAATAGTAGAAAAAGTTTCGAGAAAGTATGAGAAATTTAGAGAGCAATGAATAAAACTACAAGCAGAAGCAAGAAGCATGGGTCTTTCAATAATCTTGAAATGTGTGTATGAAAATAAATTCCCATATTAAATTACATCTTTCATTTATGTCATTGCTTTAATGCTAGATAGAGAAAAAATTTGATTGGATTCACTTGACAATTAATGAACTGAACATATTGTTTTAGTTGAAGGAAACAAGAATTCCTTAGAACCAAATTTCGTTGAAGAAAGCAGAATTTCTGGTTCTTATTAAATTCGATTCTAAGAACTATTAAGAACTATTAAGAACTGAATTTGATCGATAGGAATAAAAAATTATGCTTCTTTCAACCAAAAATTAATTTAATCAATTTATTTTTACAGTTTCTTTGCAAATGATGACAAGCAATGAAACACGATCGACGCGGTTATAACTGTCCGTCCAGAAGCGCAGTAATAAATTATACGTTACATAATAGCGCAACTGCTTGAGATAACATTTTTACTCACATTATAAATAATGAGTAATCCAAACTACAGTATCGAAAATACATGTATCAATATAGGACATTTTGTATACTTTTGAAATTTTTTGCACATGTAAAAATGGTAAATATGATATTATCAGGTTACAAAATTTATCTGATCAAACTATTTGTTTATTGCAATTGTATGTAAATTCTGGCTTCATCATATCCCATTCACTCTATACAAGTTTTATAAATTACGCTAATATTACACGGAGAAAAATAATTTTGTTCTTTTAGCAAAATCGTCACTGCATATTCTTAGGGACATCAAAAAAATTTAGTTGATGTAACTAATTTTACAAATTATTCATTATTAGAGCAGAAGTTTCGTTGCCAGGATAGAAAAAATTTGTTGTATTTGTCCTAAAAATCACGTTAATTTGCTATTGATGCAAAATAATGTATCCTTAGCAAATATATTTATTTATCGGAGCCAAACTGCAACTGCTTATATAAATCCATCTCGGTTTTTATACCAAAATAATTTATAGATTCAGCAAATTATATCCAGCAAATAGTGATTAGTACTCTTAGCAAATCTTTTTGCTGTCTATATAATAATAAAAAGATTTTGCTAGACCAAACAATTTGCTAGGCCAGCAAATTGTTTTTTTCCGTGTACGCTACATTATTCAATGGAAAATTTCTGCGTGTAATATTGTTAAGTTATCACACGATTGCCGCGAAAGAGTTCTCGTGATCCATCCGCAATGTGTTAAGGAAAGACATCATCTTCTTCGTGCTATGCCAGTCAAGGGTTGATAGATTGTTTCATCCTGTCCTGCGCACGATCTTTATATATTACGCATATATATATGTACATATATCGTTCTTAGCATTTTTGACTGCGTCCCTTCTCATCACCCTCGTGTCTGTCCCCCCGTCTCTCTATCTCCGCCCGCCTCTTCATGACCTTCTCTCTATATCTGATTATTCATGTCACTCCTGTGCTCACTGTCTATATGTATTATGCTCTCCTGAATGTCGCCTTATCGAGGCCGCCGCCAGAGAATGTTCCGTTATCTTATCGCTACTAATGATTGCACCACCAAGGATTCAGTAGGATATCGAGGAGATCGGTTCCGCCTTGGAATTTTGCGCGGAATCGCAGCTTCAGCACGGGTCATTTGCGTTCGATTATTACACCTCGGAGCCGAGGGAACACCAGGAGGCGCACTCGTCCTTCGCGGATTGCATAGCACGTAACATCCGCGACCGAAAAATGCTTGGAACACTCGGGGGAGTGCACAATCGCGAAGAATTCCGTGTAGAGACTCGTAGATTGTGTTTGCGTACGTTTACATCGCGAACATCACGTAAGTCTCGTGCGCAAACAACGCGAGCCTCGGTGCATGCATGTGCGAATGCTCCGAGCGGAACGCGTCGAGAAAAATATCGAAGGCATCCTTCCGCAGGACGAGGACACAATTAGCTAATTTAGTGCGCCTCGATTCCTTTTTCTCTCCGCGCGACGTCTGGAAGATGCAAAAAGACGAGCGCGTCGCCGTTCTGTCGCAGCAACATTGCTGGCGTGTGCACGGAGAAAAATGTTCTCTCGGAAAGAGGGTGAGAGATATCGGCAATGTGTGCGACGCGCTTGCGGAAGGTAATGGACCGACAATTGTATCTTTCTCCTTCTCTCCGTGCGCGAGACGCTCGAGCTCGTCGTCTTACCGAGGATCGAGCACGCGAATGCACCTGTAAGCCGACGTGTATTCTCTGTATGCATTGCACTGCGACACAGTTTTCGTTGCGCTCGGCCACCCTCTCGCTGACGTCACGACCACCACGATCGCTTAAAGTTGATCACGTCAATAGGCAGTGTTTGCCAATATATAGGTAAAATTATCTAAATGATTATCTAAGCGAGAAAATAAAATCTTTCTTATCTAGATGTAAAAATAGAAAGTATATTCATCTCCATTTTAAATGAAAAATACGTGTCATTTTATTTAAAAATGATCTTATGCGTTATGCAAAATTCTCTCAGCATAAGTGTCAAGAACTTAAGGAGGACTGGAGGGTCAGATTGCCTGAAAATCGTGCTGGTTTTTTCACAATTTTTTATGACAAACTGAATGAATATGCGTGTTATTTTGATGTGTATTTATACAGCATATAAAGAGAAGAAAAAAATAATTATGATTTCCGTAAAATTTCCGTAAACTTGTCATTATCATGTAAACTATAATAGAAATTAAATAAAAGTCAACAAAATTGTAAATATCTTAATGGAATATTATTAAATTTTCAGTTCTTAGTATAGTAAAAAAATTAATATTTCAAAATTAAATATTTTCACGAGTTTGTCAATGGTTCACACGATAACGACAAGCTTACGGAAATTTTTTACCTAAAATTCAGCTTAATTAAACTACCGAGAGTCAAGATATTACTGCAAAATGACGACCTTAAAAAAAAAAACGAAATATATTTTAACTGTATGTACCATACACTTATATTGAGTATTTGATCATCAAAATTATATTTTTCTTCTCTTTATATGTTGTATAAATATACATCAAAATAACACTTTTGCATATTCATTCAGTTTGTCACACAAAATTGTGAAAGAACAAGCACGATTTTCAGGCAATCTGACCCTCTAGTCCCCTTAATTTAGTAAGTGTACATATATACAGCGTGTCTCAGAACAGTTATTAATTAGATAAAATTAAGCGACCACCCATTAATCTTTCTTAATTAATAATTAAAAATCTACGAAATTATTAGGAAAATGGTAGAGGCCTTTTTTATTCAGTTAGATTTAATGTACAAGTACACGATGGCAGACATTGTCACTACAGCTCATTTACCATATCTCGCGTGATTATTCACAAATCTTTTTCAATTAATTCTCTATAATTATTGCAAATATCACAAAACGGTATAAGACTTTTATGTTCACCTCAATTCGTATTACGTCTCCACGAGACCTTCAAAGATCATCCTGGAACACCCTGTATACATACGAATATGTTAAATTCAAGTAAATTCGAAACGAAACAATCAGAACATTGCTTCATGATTGTGTGTGGATGCATCGAAATCTTTTCTTTTAGATGTAGGAAGTTTTGACAAGATGAGCTCAATGTCAGACGTCGCGTTATAGAAGAATGAACAAGCGAAGAAACGATTCTGTTTTCAAGAGATCTTCTGATAGCATCGAAATCTATGTATTCCGATGATTTATTTCCGGTCGAAGAGAGTGGGATAGAATCTAACGCCACGCTTGTTTACATCTCGTCAAAACTTCCTGCACTTTAAGAATAAAGATTTCGTTGACCTTTTATGAATTTTTCAAATATTATAAAAATATTTTTCTTTAATATAATATAATTATATCTGTGTAAAGCGCTTTTTAATTTAGCAAGTAGGGAGGGCCAGTTTACTACTGGAGTAAGTTGCCAAAATCGATTATTTCTATTATTTTCTAACAGGTTACAAAATTAAGTAAGCAAGAGTTTTAAACATTTCAAAGATAACCTTGAAATCCCTGTTTGCTTGATTCTGCAATCTGTTAAAGCATAATAAAAATAATCGATTTTGCCAATTTATCTCAGTGGCCAAATAGCCTCGGTCTCTCCTAAATATACTCCGTTAAAATCGTTTATTAGACGAAACATTCAATTTTATTTTGGATAAATAAAAATTTTAAATAAATTTGTGAATACTGTTCATACAATGTTTCTTTCACGTGTGTGATGTGAATAATTTTTTATAAATTTTTATGAATAGTCTCATGAATGCAGAATTACCTAAAAAACTATTTTCTAGATAAATTGTGCTAATCATCTCATCTTTCATTTAAATTAATTAAAAGCAAAATCATTTTCATTTTATACAACATAATTTTACAGATTTTCGTGTTACCCTCATTTAGATGATTTCGAAATTATCTAAGGCAAACACTGCTGATAGGTCGAAGGAGTGACTGCGTCTTGTTGTCGCGACGGTCTTTGTTTCTTTCGATGTGCCGCATGAATGCTGCCATGTGAATGCTGCGCTGCGCTGCGCTTCGAGGTCTCGTTGCCTCTCGCGATATTTAGGGAACGCACCTAATTGCGCAGGTCATTAGTATGTGCCTCGTGAGAGTACGCGTCTCGTTTTCGTATCTCGCGCAATCCAGAATGTTTCCATTTGGCAAATAGGTAAATATTCAAAAAAGATCACGCATTTCACCGAATCTTTTCAACTGAAAATATATTGTAGAGAAGATGGTTGAAAGAGTGATTTCTCTAAGATAAAGATCTTTACAGATCTTTTCAGGATCTGTTATGTTAGTATATGATAAATTCAATTAAATAAGGCAAATAATTTCAGAAATAATAAAATGTTTTGTCATGCGAATGTAATATATATAATAAAATAGTTTGCATAGTCGTACATTGATAATAATTTAGGCATTGCCAGAAATAAATGAAAACGATCATCGATAATGTATAATGTGTATAATAGTCATTCTCTAAAAAAGTGTAAACAAAGATAAATTCTTATTTAAATTATTTATACTAAAATCCGTGACTATGACTCTTATTTGATTATATTTTCACTTTGGTTATATGCTTAGAAAACTTGTTTACATAATTTTTTCGTATAAATAAAACGTTTTTTCAGTTTCAGAAAGTGAGCAATAGATTAATGCGGCATATTGTTTGCAACGTCAGCTTATAATATCTAAAAAAGCATCAAAATTAAAAAACTTTTTTGTTATATCTCAATAACTAATATCCACTTGGTTCTTACTGAAAATCACTTTCAATTCTCTCTCTGTCTCTCTTTCTCTCTCTTCTCTGTAATATATATTAATATTAAAAGTATCAGTGAGATGTGACCTTCTTTGAATATTTACCGCAAGTACTTTGCGGCTGAAGAACCGCGCTGCACCATCATCTTCGCCAATTTGCACGACCGTCTTCGACGGGAATGTCGCGTGTTTCGAGCGATACGTCGATGACTAGATCGGCCAGTTTTATTTGCAGCATTCTTTAGATTATGTGCGACTATAGATTATACGCATTACTAACATTTCTTTTACGCCATGTGGACTTACGTCGTAGTGGATGAGCTTGCCTCGTGACGGCGACGATGGGCTAACTGTCAAAATTTGCGTTAGGTACTTGCGAAGGACAAAGATATCGGTGAGAACGGCAGAATCCAGTACAGTATCAAGAGTGGTCGAGGAAAGGGCAAGTTCAAGATCCATCCTACCACGGGTATGGTGTACTCGCAGCGTGGACTCGACGTTGATCAAGAATATGAGATGTTGGTGAGTAACGTACACGAGAAAGTAATACCCACAGACAATCAAATATTTCAAAATAAAGCACATTTAAAAATTTGTAAATAAAACTTTCCTTTTTTAATCAATAAAATAAATTATATATCTTAAATAATTCTCCTCTTGACCCCTCCATCCTTCCACACAAATATATATACATAAATAGTATATTAAAAAAATATTTTTCATATATTACACAGATCAAATAAAAGAATAAGGTTTTTTAAATATTTTATGACTTATGGGCGCTTCTGATATTTAATAAGAAGCATCATTAGTTAGCATAATCAAATGAGAAATGGGCGACACAATTGTTGTTCACTACCCGTTGTAAGATTTTGTTATATTGACACTCGATTTTTGAAAGAACAATATCAGAAATTAGAAAAAAATTGGGAATATATTGTTAAAATTTTACCAATGGGCAATGCCATGCGTTGTGCTAATATTTTTACGTCTTAACCTCGACTTGAATCAAACTTTCCACGTATGCAATACTGCAGATACGAGCAGCCGACCATGGCGAACCCCAGCGTAGTCATCAGACTCGAGTTTCCGTCGAAGTTGTAGAGGCACCGAAGAAATCGGAACATCCTCCTGTGTTTAAGACAAACAATCAAAGCGTGGAAGTTACAGAAAGCGACGAGGTGGGCTTTTTCGTAACTCTCGTAGAAGCCACTGACAAGGACGGTGGTTCTTTGTGGTATGATATTCTAGGTAAGAACATTTGCTTCTCATTTTCCTCGCTTTCATGATTTATGAAAATCTCATGCGCGTAGAAATATTGTTTCTCTGTGCAGAAAGTAGAGAGATGCGATTGTGTATTTTTTGGTAAAGTACACTTAATTTCGCGAAGTTCTAGCGTTACTTTCTAGTTAATTTAATATTATTAATTTATTAATAAAATTGTCTAAAATGACTAAATAAATTATTTTGCAATATACGATATTTGTGAGATGAAACCATATGTCATATGACTATGTCTATATGTCATATATAACTAATATATCAATTTAGAAGAAATTTATTATATTATAAAGGTTCTATATATATATATATATATATATATATATATATATATATATATATATATATATGCTACATATATTGTGTTTGCACAATACAACTTTACAATTAAATATCTCGAAAACAATATGGAATATAAGCGAAGAAAAGTCTATTAAATTTTCTGTTACGTATTGTTTAACTTTTATATGTACATACTATAGTTTCATCTTATATATTTTATCTAAATATATTTTCTAAACGTTAGAACCTTCTTAAAGGGATGTCAAAATGGACGATGAACTCCTAAAATGTTGATAACGAAAAATATGATCATACATATGTAGAAATCTTTCTACAAACTTTTCGTGTATTTTTAAGATTCTAAATTTGGTTGTGAAGATATAGTAATATTTTTTAAAGTTTCCCTGGACGTAGCAAATACACATTTCGAATATACAAGTTGCAAAAATCGTTTTATTGAATAATTATATTAAATGAGACAGCTCGAGATGTTAATTTTGAAATTTTATATCGTTTTCACCATATATTGAGCAATGTTTCAATTCATTCTTGCACCATTCTCATTTGTAATTCTGAACTAGTAACTTTATAATAAACTAGTAACTAGTAAACTTTGCGGAAAAAGTCAATATTTTTCCGGTAAAATTTTCGGCATCTCCTTGTATTAACGACGGATCGAGTTGACTATTGCGATTATTGCATCGGCGCGTAATCTACTAGCAAGGTAAGTCATCCCGAGTGGTGTTTTACAGACGGAGACGACCGCGACGAGTTCTTCATCGGCCGCGACAAAGGCAACGTGCTGCTGGCCAAGCGGCTGGATTGGGAAACCCAGAACTTTTACAACCTCACTATCGGCGTAACGGACGGCGTGCATACCGCGCTGACGCAGCTGTTCGTTACCGTGATCGACATCAACGATCACCGGCCGGAGTTCACCGAGAGCACGTATCACGTCGACATCTCGGAGAATGTCGAGAGGGGCGAGAGAATCCTGCAGTTGCACGCGACCGACGAGGACGAGGACAAGAAGGTCTTCTACAGTCTCCACGCGGCGCAAAGCCAAGCCTCCCTCGAGATCTTCCACGTGGACTCGATGCTCGGCTCGATCACTCTGAACGAGCCGCTCGACCGCGAGACTATCGAGGAGCACGTGCTGACGGTGATGGTGAAGGATCAAGGCACGCCCGCCAAGCGCAACTATGCCCGCGTCATCGTCACCGTGCACGATCACAACGATCACGCGCCGGAGTTCATCAGCGAGATCATCCAGGGCAAAGTGTACGAGACCTCGCCGGTCGGCACGGCGGTGGTGCAGGTGTGCGCGATCGATCGGGACCGCGGCGAGAACGCGCGAATCACCTACTCGATCACGTCCGGCAACGTCGGCAATGTGTTCGCGGTCGATCCTGATCTGGGTTTCATCCGCGTTGCCCGCGAGCTCGACCTCGGCGTCACCTCGGAGTATATACTCCTCGTGAAGGCGACGGATCACGGCTCGCCGGCGCTGTCGAACACGGTGCCGGTGCACGTGATGGTTACGATGGCCGATAACGCGCCGCCGCGCTTCGTCCAGAAGGAGCTCTCCGCGGAGATATACGAGAATCAACAGCTGGGTACGTACGTGAAGCACGTGGAGGCAAGGAGCACGTCGTCGCTGCAGTTCGAGATCGTGCGCGGCAACCGCGACGACACCTTCTTCGTGAATCCCAGCACCGGCGTGATCGTTATCAAGAATCAGTTGGACTACGAGAAGACCAAGTTCTACAATCTATCGGTGTCGGCCACGAACATGGCCGGCGCGTCCGCCGTCTGCAACATCATCGTCCACGTGCTCGACAGGAACGACAACGCGCCGCGCTTCCTGCAGGCGTTGTACAGCGGCGAGATCAGCGAAGGTGCCAGCATCGGCTCGCTCGTGCTGACCAACACGAGCGCGCCGTTGGTCATCAAGGCCGAGGACGCTGATTCCGAGCTGAACGCGCTGCTCAATTACGACATCGTCGAGGACCTGCCGCGGAAATATTTCCACATCGACTCCAGCACAGGCGCCATCAGGACGGTCATGGTGCTCGATCACGAAACTATACCGATGTTCTCGTTCCACGTGAAGGTCTCGGATCTGGGCAAGCCGAAGCTCTCCTCTGAGACTACGGCCAAAGTGATGATCGCCGTGACGGACGTAAACGATTGCCCGCCCAAGTTCTCCAAGACTGATTACAACGTCACGCTCCTGTTGCCGACGTACAAGAACGTCGCCGTCATTCATGTGAACGCTGTGGATCCTGACAGCTCTGAGGGAACTGCCTTGAGGTATGGAGATATAGGAAAATGCATATCGCGTTCAAGTAAACGTTACTGATCTCAAATATTTCACGAATTGCACGCAGATTTAATAAATTCATAAGTTCGCCATAAGTAGTAAATCAAAATACATCCTCAATCCTAGTAAGTTTAATATTTCAATCAAGAATATTAAATTAATACAAAAATTCGGCTTGCTTACTACATAGAGTCGAACTAACTTTTTCTTTTATAATATTCTTGCAAAGTAAATCAATTTTTCTTTTGAGTGCATGATAATGAATTTTTCTACAATTTCTAATAAGTACATTTGAAAATTATTGAAAAAACATTTTTTAATTAAATAAAATATAATTATAAATAATAAAACGAGACTAGAAGTATCTGATTGTAAATCAATCAGGGGAAAATATAAAGACTATTAAGAACCAAATCGCAAGTTTTAGCGCGTATCCAATATTATTATAAATATAAATAATGCGAGAATGTTTTGGTCACAATTTATTGAAGATAACCATTACTTAAGACTCCTGTAATTCTTCGATGTGAATCTTTTGTTTGATGACATTTAGAAGCCAGAAAATACACACTGAAAATTCTCGCACTTTGCAGCTTACCTTTTAATCTGCGTTTTCTCATAATTCTATCATGTTAATTTTATTATTTATCGATTGTTAGAGCAAAAGAAAAGGGTAAAAGAAAAGGTGAACTATTTTAGAAATCTGCTCGATCGATTGCAGGTGTCATGTTGTGAACATATAATTACATTTCAATGTATTTTGTGAGAATTTTTAGTGTGTATTTTCTCGCTTCTGACATCATAAATCAAGATGGCCGCGGCGAGGAAACAGAAGTCTTAAAAGAAAGAAAGTAAACTGAGGAATTGCTTTTCTTAGCAGCAGAGTGATATTTTTCTGTGTGTACTTGTCCGTTTTTTGGCTGTCAGCATTCTTGTTTGCTTCGTTTGTCGTTCGTGTTAAATTTTGGCGTCTAACATGTTCGCTGTCAGGGTTTATTTGGAAGACTCTCCTCACAGAACACTTCGTATTTCTATTACGTAATTGTGTAAAACAGACTTGGTTTGATAATGCGGGTATAAAAAAACAATGTTTGCCGTCACACATGTGTGACATTGGTGGAAAACGTGTTAATTCACAATTTGCGAAACGATCATACTGTTTCCTGATTGCTATCCTTACATCAAATATGAAAATAGTGGATTATTAACGCTGCCATATCGGTGATGTGCCTCTAGTATGCAGACAACTTGATGCACATATGATTTTGATTCAGGTATGACATCATCGACGGGAATAAAGCTCACACCTTTGACATAGACGCCCAGAGCGGTATCATTACCGTCCACAATCCGGAACGTATGAAGAAGAGCTATCTCCTCCACGTGCGAGTGTCAGACGGCAAATACTCGAGTGTGGCGCAGGTGAATGTGATCGTGGAGAAGTCGGAGAACTCCGGTTTGATCTTTCAGAAGAACGTCTACGAGGGTGCCATATTGGAGAACTCCACGAAAATTACGACCGTGATGGTGGTGAATGTCCTCGGCAGTTCCTTGAACGAGCACATTGTCTTCAGCATTCTTAATCCGACCGACATGTTCGTGATCGGGTCGACCTCGGGCGCGATCAGGACCACCGGCATACGATTCGATCGGGAAACGTGCGACCATTACGAGCTAATCGTCGAGGCGAAGAGCCATCCGCCGGACCGCGAGAAGCCCAGAGTGGCTCACGTGATAGTGAACGTCACGATACTCGACATCAACGACAATTGTCCAATGTTCGTTAATCTGCCGTACTACGCAGTTGTGTCGGTGGACGCCCAGAAGGGTGACGTCATCACGAAGGTTCACGCGGTGGACATGGACAGCGGCGACAACGGCGAGGTGCGGTACGAATTGAAGAAGGGCCACGGCGAGCTCTTCAAGGTGTGCCGGAAAACCGGCGAGATATCGCTGAAGCAGAATCTCGAGGGTCACAATCGCGAGTATCAGCTCACGATCGCCGCGTACGACGGCGGTGAGTTTGTTAAAGCGCCGAAGTCAATAGCTCGGCTTTCCGCTTGATCCGCTTTAAATGAGCTCCTAAATATGATTGCAGGAATAACGCCTTGCTCCATTGAGGTGCCAGTCAACGTGAAGGTGATAGATCGCTCGATGCCGGTATTTGACAAGCAATTCTACACGGATAGCGTGCTCGAGAGTATAGAAGTACATTCACCTCTGGCGTTATCCATTCAAGCTGAGTCACCGTTGAATCGCAAACTCATATACAGCATTACTAAGGGCAATGATTTCGAGGAGTTCGCCCTAGACTTCAACACAGGTAAGCCGATGCGCATTCCCTGGCACGCGTTTATCGGATGCCAAGCGTGAATTTCACGTTAGAAGACAATTTCGTGCAATCGTAGCGTGACGTCGCAAAAATTGTGTTGCGAAATGTGAAAAATTCTAGACACGACGGAGTGTAACTTTCTGTTCATTCCGCAGAAAACGTCCCGTAAATCGGATTCGAACGGTCGACAATTATACGAGCGCGTCTTATTATTGTGTCTGAGTTTCTTCCGAAACGCGCGAAAATTGTTGAGAATCGCGTCAAGCATCAGACTTAAAACAAAACATCGATTTTTATTTCGCAACTTGGCTATGGGACTATTCGAACTATGTGGAAGGCAGTGTAGGACATTACTCAATGAAAATTTTCTTTAAAATAATTGCCAAATATATCAATAATCAGAATTGATCAATCTTAATATATAAAATTATAAATAATTTAATCAATTGATTAAGTTAATTATCAATCAGCGTATAATCACGTCACAGTTCGCTTTAATAATTAATTTCGCCAATCGATGAAATTACTCGTAATTTTATATATGACGATTGATTGATTCTGATTGTCGATTTGTCAATTATTCCACTCGAAGAAAATTTTAATCGATCAATGCCCCACACTGGTGGAAGGGTTCCTATGATATATTGCAAGTCTGGGTATATACTTAGTGAATTCGTCAGTTTTGCTGCATAATGGTACTTGGTTGCTAAGTTCTAATTATGTAACGGTGTATTGGTGAAACGGGGAGTCGAAAAAGAAACGTGATATTTTTCGAGTGTTAGTTCCAGCGATTCTGCGAAAATTTCACTGAATTTTAACTCACCTTACAATTTCGCTAAATGTTAAGTATTCGATTTTATCTCGCAATTCGTTTCACTTTTACCTCTTAACTGAAATTGCTTCGCGCAGTTTCCTAAGTTCTACCTCATATAACGGAATATTGGTGAAATTGGGTGAACGCGCGTGGAGTCGAAAGAGCAACGCGTGATATTTTTCAAATAGTTTCAATGGTTCTGTGACAATTTCGTTGAACTTTAATTCACCTTACAATTTCGATATTGAGGTTTCGATTTTATCTCGCAGTTTGTTTCACTTTATCTTTATCTCAATTGATTGGAATTGTTTCGCGTCTAAGTTTTACCTCATTGCGTATTCTTTCTGACTTTACCATTTTTTTTTGGCTTTCTAGCGAGTATACTTTCCGATTACATATTTTTTAGTGGCTGTCCTTATCGATGTTTATTTTTGACAGTAGATCATTCAGTTGTTTTTCGAATCATGATACTCGTTCCGTAATGTACCTCTTACGACTGCTTGTCTGGAAACTAGAGATTAAAGTTTTGTTGTATCTGCCTGTTTCGCAGCCCCCGACAGTAACAATGGTCCTTGTGAGTATAAAAAAAAATACTAGTTCTTTCGGTCTGTGCTGTGTTGCTGTATTACGAGGCTATGTCGCACACACAACGCTCTATGTTCATGCACGATGTAATCATAGGCAAATCGCTGCAATTGGGTCGAGCGTACTGAAACAATGCGCGGCCGACGAAATTGAATTTTAATAAATCTGAGTTATCTGCAATAACTGCACTGCGCGAGCGGCTTCGCGTTCCGACTCGTCGAATATAATGTAAAACTGCCGGATTTCTTGCTTGCTCCTGATTCGGGAACATCTTTCGCAACTTGCGAGTCGTTAAAGTACGAGACCGTTCGTCCTTAGAGCCACGAGAGTGTAATTCTACACTGTTAAATCCGTAGTGTCAAATTATACTCAATTTGAGTTATTTTTAACCATTCCTATAAGTCGCCACTGCTCCTACTAAATATGTCGTTAATTTAACTAATGTAATGGAGTTAAATAATTTAACTTAAGAAATGTATTAAATTTGACTAAAATTTAGTTTATTTTTTATTATGTGCACGTTAATGTAACCTTTGTTTTAGTAAAAAATGACTTAAATTGTTTTAAATCTGTTGATTAGATGTGGTTGTTTTTTTAAACACATATTTTGTGTTAAAATAATAAATTTTGACACACATGATAGTTAAAAATAACTAAATATTACTTAACTCAAGAAATTGGTTTAAATTTGACCCTCCAATATTTAACAGTGTTGGTGTTGCGCGTAAGATCGGCGTTTGAACTTTTTCATCGACGCTCAGTAAAAACAATTCAGAACATGCATGCACTTATCAATTTCTGCGTTGCTGGATTGCGTTTCCAATTAACATTTTGATCAATGCAAATTATTCAATTACCTCGCGCAATTACCATAACATTACGCCGAAACGCGTGTAGCTGCCTGCTCTTCGTCAATATGCGTGCCGTTTAAATGTATTCATTGTTACGAATTCTCATTTACTTCCAATTAGGTCATTAATACCGCGAGCATTAACACTCGGGATGTGTGCCGGAGTCATTTTTATCGAACAAGACGCGTTTCACCACAAGTATCGCTCACAAATTACCGTACTAACTTTTACGTTCATGCCGAAATTCGTTTCCATTGCCCATCAAGCACACTCAATTGGATGCAATTATGGCGCACGATGCTTTGCCACGGTGAACGTAACAATGAACGTTTCGAGCTACGATCTCTGGCTTGTGGCGTAAGCTTGCTGCACGCAACCAACTAACACTCACGAGACGGCAAGAGGGGGAAAAGTTTCCTGAGACTTTTTAATTTAAAAAAGACTGCAATGTCTGCTTTTGAAAGCCTCCCACTTTTCTATAATCCGCTTCCGCTCGTCTATACCGTCCCGCAAAATGAATTTTCCTTTTGCTGCCCGTTTTTTCTTCTCTCTACGTAATCGTAATCTGGGCGGTTAAATTGTAAAACACGATGGAGCCACACACGAAACCGGCTTGGAGCGCGCACAATGCTGCTTACACGCACTATCGTTCTACACTCCGAGGCCGCTCTAGACACGTCGTAAATACATCGGCTGGATCTCTGAACGCGCCGACCACCCATTCCCACACTGAAAAAAAAGATAGTAATAGTTATTAAATATATAGTAAAGTAGTTTCAACTCAATCGTTTGGTGCATATGACTACATATTTGGTCAGTATTAACCAATTTGTTAATTATGACCAGGCATTTAGTTATATCTACTAAATGATCGAGTTGAAACTGTTTTACTAAATATTTAGTAATTATTACCATCTTTTTTTTTCAGTGCATTTTCTTCATGAGATTTCAGTAGCTTCAATTGCCGCTCGCATGACGTGCCTGCACCTTACGTAAGGAGGCAACACCTCGGTTGTCACGTTCGCGGATTATTTTCAACTCGAGAATTCATTTCATGAGAGCCGCCGACGGTAGTAGCGGCTGATTGGTCGTCGCTCGCGACATTTATTTCGCGGAAGGTGCAGGCACCGCACAATGGCATTCGCAAATCATTTCACGGGACCTCGACGTTTTGCGTAAACGTGATTACTGCGTGACTGCATTCATCAGTGTCTTCCAGTGTCTACGGATCCGTTGGCTCCGCGCTTCGCGCAAACGTTGTTTGTTCTCCTCTGTGAATTCACACGATCCTGATTCGTCGCAAAACTGCGCCGATCGCGAAGGAAGGGACGGCTATTGTAGATCGTCGTGGATTCAATTCTCTCGTCGTCCACGACGAACACGCTCTCTAAAGTACAATCAGTGTATTCTTTACTCAAGTGCTATGCTTACAACTGGTGGCTCAGTTATAAACACAGCACTGCAATCAGTAAAATCTCGTTAAAATGATTAGTCACCTAAAAATATAGAAGTTTATCCTTAGAAGAATTCTTTCACACATGACCATTTTTTTTAATCAGGTGGAAAATATTCTATAACCACAATATTATTTCTTTTTATAAAAAGGGAAATATCTTTTCAGTAAAAGTTTTCGCTTAGAATATGGGATTACAGAAAATTGCATCTTGCAACTAGAGTTTCTTTTTTTTGAGTGTTAGAATAATTTCTTTTTGGTTTTAGAAGAATTCTCTTGAGGTCATAACATAAGATAATTCAGCTAAGAATGTGATTATACTGTTCTGGATGATGAATAATAACTATTGTTCGCATTATTAATGCAACTTGCAAACACAGACAACGTCATCGTGTATAAGACGCATGGAAACTGTTAATTCCATCGTCGCAAATGCAGAAAGTTAGATACGACGTGTAACGAATTTGTGTGCTACGGATTTCGCAGTGAAATCTTGCCTCCACTGATCAAAATCGGTGAGATATGAGATGGAACAGTAAAGTGGAAGTGTCTCCACTGAAAATCAGTGAATATTCACTGATTGCCGGTGAAATATTCCTTTGAATGATTCAATTAGAAACGAATTCGCTGATTCACTTTAAGAGAGCGCACGTACACGCCTCTGACGGATACGTAGACACCCCGCTGCATAGTGCTTTGGGTCTACAATCTTCTCTTCGTATAAATCAGGTGTAATCTATGTGGTGGATGAGCTGGATTATGAGCAAAAGAAGCAGTACGAACTGACCGTACGCGCCACCGACAGCGTGTCGGGCGTTTACGCGGAGGTGCTGGTTAGCATCCTCGTCCTGGACGTGAACGACTGCCCGCCCGAATTTACGCAGGACTCCTACAACATCTCGGTGTCGGAAGCTGCGTCGTTCGGGACCTCCGTCCTGCGAGTAAGCTCCAGGGACAACGACACGGGTAATCTGATGATTAATTTTAAGCTTTGCACTAATTAATGTCGGACTATACTCGGGTGAATTAAAATTAATGGAGATAAGGAAATGGAATAAAAGGAATGCAAAAAACAGAGGCAGAGAAGAATATTAAATCTGAAATATCTCGAATTTTTGTGGCGGACATGCATTGTCCCGAGAAAAAGACAACAAAACATAAAAAGTGGGACAATTTCCTGAAAAGTAACAATATCGAAATCCATATATCGATAATATCCTGAAATACAATTTTACTAAAATATTGGAAGCATACAAGTTTCCTGAAAAACATAATGCCGAGATGCGAATATTGAGACAATACATCGAATTATTATATTGTGTTACTATAATTTTTTACATGTAAAAGAAATAGGAGAACTACAGGTTTTAATCAGAATATCAATTATATATCTTCTTCCCTAGCGTGAACTCATTAAAAGTGAAAAGTTTCATTGAATTCGTCAATGTAACTTTTCAGTTCCCTTACTCTATAGGAAGAAATACATGATCGATACTCTGTTTGTTGCTTGTAGTTCCTTTATTTCTTCTACATATAAAAAATTAATAATATAATAATAATTGGGGATATATTGTCTCGATATTCGCATTTCGGCATTATGATTCATTCACATTATTACCTTCCAGAAAAATATTATAAATATTATAAATTCGTCAATGAAACTTTTTCACTTTTTATGAAATAAACACCAAGAAAAACATGATCAATACCCTGAGGAGATATTTTTTGCCATTTTACCACATTTAGGGAATATTGTCTCGGTATTATAACTTTTCGGGGAATTGTCGCTGTTCACGAATTTCGAGAGACGCTGATTTTGCGTGTCCACCTATTTTCTAAGTGTTCGCGTTCGCCCTTTCGCAGGCATAAATCAAAAGGTCCGCTACGCCATCCAAAACGACACGGAGAACAGCACGGATCTCTTTCACATTGACCCCGATGAGGGCGTAATATTTCTCAAACGGTCCCTGGACCACGAGACCCGCGAGTCCCATCATTTCACAGTGATCGCTATGGATCGCGGTGTGCCCAGTCTATCAAGCACAGCGCACGTCTGGGTGAGCGTGATCGACATGAACGACAACCCGCCGAAATTCGAGCAACCCTCATACACCTGCTCGCTCTCAGAACACGCCGAACGCGGCCAATTCGTGACGGTTGTATCGGCCAGCGATCCCGACTACGTTGATGAGAAGCTGACGTATACTATCGTGGGTGGTAACGAGCAACAGACGTACAACATCGACCAGTCGACCGGCATCATCTCTCTCATAAACATGCAGAACTTCGGCGAGCAGAAGCTCAGCATGCTCAACGTCTCCGTTACCGACGGCGTGTACACCAGTTTCGCCCGCGTTAAAATCGAGATCCTGCCGGCTAACAGGCACAATCCCAAGTTCCCGAATCCGGTGGTCGAGGTGACGGTCTTGGAGAATCAACTGCCCGGCAGATTGGTCACCAGCGTGTTAGCCATAGACGAGGACTTCGGGGAGTACGGCACGGTGATGTACGCGATAATGTCGGAGACGATGAAGGAGATGTTCGACATCAATAAATTGACCGGTGAGATCGTGACGCGCAAGAAGCTCGATCGGGAGCAGCAGAAGCGATACGAGATACCGGTAATAGCTACGGACGGCGGCGGTAGATCCGGGTTCGTGATGGTGCGCGTCAAGGTCGGCGACGAGAACGACAACGTGCCGGCGTTCCTCCTCCGCGAGTACAAAGCGACCATCCAGAGCAATCTGTCCTTGAACACGCCGTTCCTGAAAGTCAAGGCGCAAGACGCGGACGAGGACGAGGCTGCCAAGATCGTCTACTCCATCTACGAGCCGCAAACGGCGCCCGCCAAATCCCTGTTTGGCATCAACTCCGACACGGGGGCTCTCTTCCTGCAGAAGAGCGCGATGCCGTGGGGTAAGAGGACACGTTTCTTTCGTATCGCGTGGTATTCATGCAGAAAACGCGAACTTAATAAACTAACAGTACATCAATAATTAAGTATGATTTAGAAATAATTGTTGTACACACACAATATATATGTTAGATTGCGCTTATATTAAATGGAAAACTGGAATATTGACGTAATGTTACTGTTGGTTGATGTTTACTGATATGTTTCTTTTCATTTCTGTTTTTTTTTCTCAACATCTACCGCACAAACGTCACGAGAAAACTGTTATTTTCAGAAAACCAATTATTCGAGCTCTTTATCCGCGCGGAGGACAAAGGTACAACCACGCATCACGCAGATGTACCACTCACCATCTACATAATGGGTCCCCATGATATCCCGCCGCTGTTCGAGCGGAAAGAAGATAAGTTCTTTATAAGTGAGGCCTCTCCTATCGGCACGCCAATCACGAAACTGAAAACCGTCACTAACAGTACCGTGACGTACCGCATAATATCTGGCGACGAGGATAACCCGCTCTTCACGATCGATTCTCATGGCCAAATTACTCTGGCGAAGCCATTAGACCGAGAATTGAAAGACAGCCATTTAATTGGCGTTCTCGCCGAGACGGATTCCAGCCCGCCGCTCACGGCTCTCGCCAAGATATCACTTCAGGTGCTGGACGAGAATGATCATGCGCCGAAATTCGAGAGCAACCCGTACGCGATCAGCTTGGCGGAAAATATCGAGGAGGGGACGTCTATATTAAAGGTCATTGCGCATGATAAGGATCTCGGTAGCAACGGCGAAGTTCGTTACTCCTTCGGATCCGACATCGGGGAATTGGCGAACGTATTTACGGTAGACACTTACACCGGTTGGATATCGACACTGGTGCAGCTCGACAAGGAGAAGCAACCAGAGTACAAATTTCAGGTAACTGTGATGTTAAAATCGTCAGGTTCAAAGTGATTCTATAAAGTTCAAAATGAAAAGCGTACTTCAGAGATGTCGATAATGTAGAAGCAATCGTCAAACGTCATATCAGATAAGCATTCATGCGATCACACGATCCTTTTCGTACTTTTTGTGCATATAGATCTTATATAAATGTGTTGTTCTGTTTTATTTAACGGAAAATAATCACGCATATATAGAAATTTTTCTGCAAACTTTTCACATATTTTTAAATTTCCTGTTGTAAATGGTCTTTAAAATTTTCCTGACAACACAGGTTTGATATGTGTAAGCTACAAAACTTTTGTATAAAGTGAATATTTACGCTAAGTTCGAGATGTCAGTTTTGAATTTTTTATTGTTTTCTCTTGTCACATATTGAACAATGTTCCAAATTATTTTTGCATAATGAGAAAAAAACAATTTGATCAATAAAATAAGCAGTTTCTGCCTTTAAAGAAATATGTCTGTTGAACAAATTATGTGTTAGTGCAATAGTAAGTTGCGTTTATATAGTTACTAGCCAAATCAATGAACCAACTATTCAATCAATTATATATATATAAAAGTGGTTATATATATATATATATATATATATATATATATATATATATATATATATATATAATTTGTCGCAGCAACGGCATAATTTATTCAATGTTTGCTTGAATGAGTTTTGTTTGTCTAAGCAAAGTCTCATTAACTCAACCACTTTTTTTCTCAGTACATATACTTTCACTGTGTACAAGCATTTATAAATCTACGTGAGCTTTGTAAAAAATGTCAGTATTTTATCGACAAAATTGTCAAGTATTCCAGACATTCCCTTTTAAACTTAGAAGTAAAGAAGAAGGTTTCATAATTCGTAATTTCTTTTCTTTTAGGTGGTTGCCACAGATAATGGAAATCCAAAGCATTTCGCGAGAACGTCGGTGCACGTGAAATTAAAGGACTACAACGACAACGCGCCCGCGTTCGTCGACGATCGTTACGAGGCCACGGTGAATGAGGACGCCCTACCGGGAACGGTCGTGGTGAAATTGATCACCGTTGATAAAGACTCCGACGTCAACACGCCGATAGAATTTTACATAACGTCCGGCGACTCCAGGTCACAATTTCAAATCAGATCCACCGGCGAGGTGTACGTCGCGAAATCGTTGGACAGAGAGACCATCGATCGTTACGAGCTCGAGATTGTCGGTACCGATGGAAAATACGTCTTCGAAACGAGAGTGACGGTGCAAGTTTTGGACGTCAATGACAATCCACCGTATTGTCTCCGATATCGTTACCGGGAAGTGCTCTCGGAAGGTTCGCATCCTGGCGCTTACGTTCTGACCGTGTTGGCCACCGACTACGACGACGAGCCAAACGCCAAGTTACGATTCTACTTAACCGGTGACAACAACGAGAAGTTTTCGTTGGACAAGGAAACGGGCGTGCTGAAAACCGTCGGGCAATTGGATCGGGAGACCCAAGCCAAGTATTCGCTGACCGCTCACGTGCAGGATCGTGATAAACCTATGTGGGAGTGCTCCTCGCAGCTGGAGATTCTCATCTCTGACCTCAATGACAACGCGCCGAAATTCACCATGCAAACTTACAGCAGCACCCTGCCCGAGGACGTGGAAGTCGGCACATTAGTGACGAAGGTGCACGCTACGGACGACGATATCGGCATCAATCGGAAGATCCGGTACGAGTTCATTGACTCCGCAGACGGCCATTTCTTCATCGCGCCGGATAGCGGGATAGTCACGCTAGGCAAGCCGTTGGACAGAGAAACGAAGGCTATGTACAACGTGACTATCCAGGCGTTGGATCAAGGCACCCCGCAGCTGATGGGTGTCGCTTTGCTCATCGTTAACGTGCAAGACATCAACGACAATCCACCGGAGTTCGCTTCCAAGATGTACTTTTCGAAAGTGCCCGAAATCTACGCGGTCGGCACCGAGGTGGCCAGAGTCCTCGCCACCTCCAAGGACACGGGGGTGAACGCTGATATATATTACTCGATTGTTGGCGGTAACGAACACAAGAAGTTCCAAATAGACGCTAAAACGGGCGTTGTGACAATCGCTGAGATGTTAGACTATGAGCGAGCTCGTGATTATTTCCTCACCATTCAAGCAGTCGATGGAGGTGTCCCGCCACTGAGCAATCACGCCACCGTTAATATTACCGTCACCGACAGTAACGATAACGCGCCTATCTTCAGCGAAGTTTCGTACAGAGCTCACGTGAGGGAAGACGCAAAGATCGGGGAGAAAGTTGTGCAGGTGTGTGTTTTCTACTTACCAACTAAAACTTCCTGAATTACTCAAAAATTTCGAATGCGAAAATTTGCGTATATTTATCTTGCATATTGGCAATCTTGGAAATTCCTGATATTAAGTAAAAGTCGACATAAAATATTTCGGAAAGTATTCACTTTTCAATTATTTTACTCTAGTATTCTTACACGCAGAAAACTATTTGTGTTTAAAAAACTTAATTTGACTTTAAAAAGATCGCATCCACTATAAGCTGAAGCCAATAGCCATATTCCTTCTCCTCAAAATTCTATAAATTTTGTTTAAAACATTTTTGTCTGTGTCGGACTCAGTTTTTTCGAGATACTTGACTAGATTGTTGGAATGTATATATATATATATATATATAATGAGCAAAAGTGAGCAAATCGTACTTAAAGCATCCTATTTTTGGATCTCCCTGCTTGCCGTATCTTAAAAGAAATCAATCAATTAACGCAAAATGAAATAATTGAGAAGAGTTAAAGCTGTTCTAATGTAAATAATTTGGATTCAGGATAATTGGAATATTTGCGTACATTGCAAGACTGAAAAAATATTCTCGGCGTGTATGTCATCACACATTCAAATATTAGTACCTTCCTGTGATTTAAAATTGTTCCTGCTATCCATCGATTGGCTACTACAGGAATATAACTAATTATGTTGTTAATTAAAAGTTAAGTTTCAACGATTCGATTTAATATAATTTGAATGGAATTTCGTCGATTGAATTCGACATGGGAAATCCTACCTTTAATATCGATTATTGCTGAATTTTGTATCGCTTGATGACAAAGCAACATAATATTCAATTTATCAATGTTCTTTCAGGTTTATGCGAATGATCTGGACAGCGAGGAGAATGGCAACGTGTCGTATTACATAGAACGGGGTGACAGGCAGAAACAGTTCTCCATTGACAGAAAGACCGGACAGATAACCGTCGCCGCTCCGTTGGACCGAGAAGAAGTTAGTATCGGATACAATTCGTTACGGATTATACGAGTACAACACGTACGAGTTGCTCTAGTTGCGCATTTTACTTTCTCTTTTAGATTGCGAACTACGTACTGGAGGTTCACGCACGCGACAGCGGCATACCGATGCTCTCGAGCTTCGTGATGGTGAACATCGAGATCATGGACGCGAACGACAATCCGCCGATGTTCTCCTTGCCAAATTACACTGCAGTTGTGCAGGAGGATAAGCCGCCCGGCCACACAGTGCTGCAATTCGTAGTCACCGACGCGGACATAGAACCGAACGCTGAGCCTTACACCTTCGATTTTCGCTCCGGGAACGAGGGCGACGCCTTCCGGCTAGAGCAGGACGGTACTCTGCGCACGGCAACGAAATTTAATAACAGAGTGAAGGATAAGTACGTATTGCACGTCCGGGTGTTCGATAATGGCAGCCCACCGTTATGGTCCGACGCGTGGGTTGTAATCAAGGTGATCGAGGAGTCGCAGTACCCGCCGGTAATTACGCCCCTCGAGGTGATTATCAATTCTTACATGGACGAGTATCCCGGCGGCATTATCGGGAAAGTCCACGCAACCGACCAAGACCAATACGATACGCTTCTCTTCGGCTTGGTGCCGTCCGCGACGATTCCGAGTAACGATCTCTTCCAAATACACGAGGCCGACGGCACGCTAGTGGCTTTGCCTAGGCTCGACGTCGGCGAATATAGGGTAAACATCAGCGTGACGGATGGCAAGTTCCACTCGTACTCCATCGTGAAAGTCAACGTTGATTTGGTGACGGAGAAGATGCTCGAAAACTCGGTGATTGTGAGGTTCCGGGAGGTTAGCCCGGAGGATTTCATCCTGAGCCACCGCAAGGGCTTCATCAGGACCGTTCGTAACGCGATGAATTGCAGACTCAAAGACATCGTCATCATCAGCGTGCAACCATCGACTGACGAGGCGAATCTGATCAAGTCGCGAGCTGTCCGCCAAGCAGTGCACAACGACCTCGACCTTCTGTTCGCCGTGAGGAAGTCGGCGAATCCGTCCAGCTTCCACACGTCGGAGACTGTACGCGAATTATTGAACCAACATTTGGAAGAGTTGGAGGAGTCAACGAAGCTGGTGGTCGAGGAAATCGTCAGGTTTAAGTGTAGCAAAGGCTTCTGTTTCTATGGTGAATGTCAGGATAAGATCATTCTCGACCCCAAGCAGATCACGCCCGTAGCTACGGACGTGATGAGCTTCGTATCGTCGCGGCATAAACACAAGATAGAATGCAATTGCAAAGAGGGATACGCTGGCACTCACTGCGAAGTGGTGGTCAACGAGTGCGCCCGAGATCCTTGCCCGTTGTTCAAGGTCTGCGTGCCGGACTCCTCCGTTCAAGGATACTCCTGCCAGTGTCCGGAGGGATTTGCCGGCCAGATCTGCGACATCGACATCTCCAAGTGTCACGACGAGTCGTGCTACATACCGCGAAATCCCATATCTTTCAGCGGCAAAAGCTACGCGCGTTACAAGATCGACAAGGCGCTGCTACGGCAAACGATCGAAGACCGTCTGAGCTTGTCCCTTAGGATCCGAACGGTGCAGCCTACCGGCAATCTGATGTACGCGGCCGGCAAAGTGGACTACAACATCTTGGAAATAGTCAACGGAGTAATGCAATATAAGTTCGATCTGGGCAGCGGCGAAGGTTTGGTCAGGGTGAGCAGCGTGTACGTGAGCGACGGACAATGGCACGAGATCCAGCTGGAGCGAGAAAGCAATAACGCTCGTCTGACTGTCGACGGCACGCACATAGCGCACGGTTCAGCACCCGGTATCAACGACATTCTGAATCTGCAATCGGATGATCTGTACCTGGGTGCCGAGGTGAGGCAACATCCGTCTATTATTGGCTTTGAGGACGTCCAACGTGGCTTTATCGGCTGCATGGACGACGTTAGGATCGCCCGGGTATCCGTACCGCTGCATATGAGCGGTGCTAGCAGCGTGGCGGTCCTCAAGCGTTTCGCCAATGTCGAGTTCAGCTGCGACACTGCGACCATTCTGGTGCCACCCGGCATCTGCGGCTCGCAGCCTTGTCAGAACGGCGGTACTTGCAAGGACTCCGGTGGCGATAGTTACGAGTGTCAGTGTCACAGCAGGTTCGCCGGTCTGGCTTGCGAGATCGACACTGATCCGTGCGCCTCTTCACCCTGCCTGTACGGTGGACGTTGCAAGGTCGTGCCAGAGGGCGGTGATTACACCTGTGAGTGCGTCGGGCCGAGTCTCAGCGGCAAACGCTGCGAATTCGGCAGATACTGCAGCCCCAACCCGTGCATTCACGGCGGTGTGTGCGAGGAGGGCAACAACGGTCCGATCTGCAAGTGCCAAGGCTTCACTGGCGAGCGCTGCGAAATTGACGTGAACGAGTGCGACACGAGCCCCTGCACCAACGGCGGTACCTGCATCAACGAGATCGGCACGTACCGGTGTATCTGCCCGCCAAACATGACCGGCTTCAATTGCGGCAATCCCGCTTACTCCACGCCGATCATATCGAGTCATTTCAACATCACTTGGGAGCAGATGATGTGGATAGGTATCGCGGTGCTACTCAATGTGTTTGTCATCATCATATTCGTTGCTTTTCGGCGCATTCGCCTGAAGCGGACCAGAGCGCGTGCCAACAACATTAATAACGAGACACGGAAGCAGATTGTTTTGAATTCTGCGAGACCGTCTGAACACGAGTTCAAGCGCAGCTCGAAGCTGAGCAATCTGGAAGTCATACAGGTACTATATCACGTTTAGACCGATTAATGTTAATCATCGTGCACTATAGAAGCATGAAAACTTTCAAAAGCTGCCTAGGTTAAAGCATTCAATTATCGGCATCCTTAATCATTAACACTCCAAAGAAATTTGGTTTTTCTTGCAACCAACAGTTGTTTATAATTTGAGCTGTGGAGATTTCTTTTGGAATCACAGATTGCTTAACTGCAATGTTGATTGCAGAAAAAGCAAAATTTTTCTAGAATGTTAAGTCTCCTTGTATCTCGTCGGCCCTATCAGATTTGTGACGTCATAAGCGAAGAATGACATGCTAAAAGTTGCATGACATTTCTGAATGAAGATAAATATGGACGAAAGAGCATTTGAGATTGCTTGAGCTTGTCCAAAAAATATCCCTCTTCCTTGATGATAAATAAATAAATAATGGTATAATAAATGGTCACAAATCCAACATGGCGAGGTACAAAGAGTTTTAATAAACGGAATGCCAATAAGTGAGTGTGACATTTATCCAAAAGCATTATTGTGACATTGGCATGTGCAAAAGGAGGTACCAACTACTGACATCAACTCCCGATTTTTCGTCACAATCGATAATGTCTTGATCGGTCTGTACGGGTACACCACACTGCTAGTGATCGATCTCGGTGCTGTTTTACTTTTGTTTTGCAATCGTCGGCCGACGTGTTAGATCCCTCCCACGCTTTCTGTCGCGGCGCATTCTGTTTAAGGTTTTTGTGTGATTCTTCTTTTACAGAGAGAACCTCCCCAATGCCCTCCCAGACCCGCTTCCTACACTCCCAGCTCCAACAACGAGCCGGCCGCATACGGTAACTCGGCGGCGGCGGCTCTAAATAACTTGGACACCCTGCGCAGTTACGGCAGCGCGGGCGACGAGCTAGAGAACTTCCCGCCGGATTACCTGAGAAACCTAAACCGCAGTACTCCCGTACCACCTCCGTCCTTGACCCTCACTAATCCGGTCGGCGGGAACGCAACTGGCAGCGACACGGACAGCCTGCACAAACCCACATGGCAGGAGCAGATGCAGCTGGCTTCCTTCATAACCGACACCACCAAGATCAAGAACGGTGAGTGGCACGCGTCAATGAGAATCTCCTTCCCTCCTCTCCGTCCCTCTCGCTCCTTCTACTCCGTCTATCCGGTAGCTTCTTACTTTTGATTTTGCTTGTGGCATGCATCGTAAGGGGTGGAGCACTCAGCGCGCTTCCCCGTTTATCCACATTAGGAGTCTCTCTCTCTCTCTCAAGTAAATTCTCCTCATTATGTCATTGTCTCTCACTTCTCGGCTCTCTGTCTCTCCCGTTGCGATCTCTCTGTTCTTCCATAGCGTGCTCGGACTCGGGCGTGTAGCGAATTCTATTAACACCGGCGTATTCGTATTGTGTGCACTAACAGACCTGAAACGAGCGAGCCCAGTGGTACCAGAGCTGACCACTGGAGGACTTCTACTAAACTCCTCTCGACGGCTGCCTCACGCGATTGGGTCTTCCGTCGCCTCCGTCACGTCCATCGAGGATGATCCTCGCATCGTTGGCGGTAAGTCGAGATAGCCCGCTCGTATCACAAGATACAGGGTGTCCAGCGAATCGTGCATCCCCTTCTTTAAAATCGCGGGACTAATGACGAGTACCATGACGGATTAAATGTCCGTGTTAGATACGGCTTGTATAGAGTGATGTAACGCTGAAAACTAGAAGATTTGCGGGAATCAACCGACGGCTACCAGGAAAAAATTTTGCAGATCGAGATTCCGTGATCGAATCAGTGCGCGATTTCTCGGACACTCCGTTGTTGTAGGGTCGACGCTTCTTCGCTTGCACTATCTATCTCCAATTGAACTCTATTATTCGCCCCCCTACCGTCGCCAACTCTTCCTCTTCACTGCATCACTATGTGCTGCATCGCATGTGGCGTGTCAAAGTACAGTCGTTGTCTGCAATGCTTTTAGGGTATCATTGGGACTGCTCAGACTGGGTCAGACGAAGTCAGAACCCTTTACCTAACATCACGGAAGTACCCGGCAGCGAGGTTCCAGACTCGTCCAGCTTCCACAGCAATGAGAGTAACGAGTCTAATACTCATCAGTTACCATCAAGTAAGTTTAGGGATGCATGCGCATTGATTTCCCGCCTCTTGCATGACCAAAATAATATTGACATATTTGCAGATTTTATTAGCTATTACTCTCTTAAAGATCCTCGCCGCAGAACTTTTAACTGGCGATATTATATTGAAATAAATTTGATTCCAACGTATCTTGCAAGAATTTTATCGTGTATTTTCTGACGTCATAAATCAAGATGACTGCAGTGAAGAAGCAGAAGCTTTAAAGTGAATCAGTAAAAATGTTTTTGATTGAATCAGTAAAAGGAGTATCTCATCTGATAATCAGTGAGTACTCACTGATTATTAATAAAGATACTTTCAATTTATTCTTCCCTCTTATATCTCATTGATTTTGATAAAAATAAAACCTCACTACAAAATCTGTAATACACAAATTTGTTATATGGTGTACTAAATTCAATTTTCTATTTGCGACAATTCTTTCAGTGCAATTTGACTTATTGCAGGGCTATACTTATAACTGAACAACCAATTATAAGTATAGCGTCTCAACGAAGAATACACTGATTGTGCTTTAAAGAGTAGATGCTTAATCCTCCGTGTACGATGTTACATCTGTAAGAACCGAAGGAATATTCGATCGCCTTCTTAAAAGGTCCGGAAAATTTTAAAAATAACACAAATTTATTCGCAGATTTTTATTTTATCGCACTATTTACTTTATAGCTGAAGCTTTTCTATATCTCTGGAAAAAAAATGTCCTAAAATATTGATTTTCAACAAAGTTATAATAGTTCAAAATTGCTCAAGCCTGACACACTCAGATTATATTTTATGTTCCAAAAAATATGATACACGGAAGGTTATAACTTATTAAAATAAGTTGCTGCTGTTTTGCTAACATTTGTATCGAAATATCTGTAATGAATTATTGAATTATTGAAAGATATAATTAACACCGTATTAACATTAATGTATGCGATAAATAAAAAGTAATTAATTACAATCATCATTAATCATATTTTCAGATTTTGTGCATGACGAAAAATGTAATATTACATTATAATGATACATTTTTTGCGCAAATTCAACATTCTGCTGGCAATATTAATTGTAGCAAATACGTAGCTTCATTCTGACATCCTTTAGCAAATGATATTTCCTTTTAGTAATACACGTGACATTTCCTTGCAGTACACGGCCCAGTAGACCCGACGAGGGACATCGAGACCCTGAACGAGGATCAGGAGTCGGAATACGTCGGCGATTCCGAATGCGGGACCGAGTTCTCGGAGCAGTATCATTGCGCAGAGACGCAGCGTCTCAACCCTCTCGACAGCGGCGGCGAAGGAGAATACAAGTACAAGAGCTCCGAGAGCTATCTTCGGCACCCGAACTCGTACCTACCGCATTACAACATTCACACCGACACCGAGAACGAGACGAATCCGTTGAACGGTCGCCTCAGTACTTTGGAGTCTGACGAAGAGGAGGAGGAAGACGATGTAGTGCCTTATGGTTTTCCAAGCACCCGCCGTAACCGATGCCACAAGGTGGACGAGGTGGACGAGATCGGCTCCGTCATCACTACGCTGGAAGAGAGGAACTCGCTACTGGGCGGCGCGACCAGCAACAGCGATCTCTCCACGAATCTGTGCGAAATCGACGATTCCGAGTACGAGATCGCGGAGCAGAAGAGCAACGGCCGCCTGTGGCTTTCGGGGAACGGCATCACGCAGACCTCAGTGTGACAAATGATGGTGCCGAAGTTCGAGGATAGACTGAAACGTGCGAGCGTGTTTCTCTGTGCTTCTATGATCGAGACGAGCGGATGTCTGTGAATATGCAATTTTGTACATAGGTGTTATCGCCATAAGTAGGACAGTCTGTACAGGCAGCTACGAAGTTAAGGGTACCAGTGTGTGAGCCACCGGCGTGGGTCGACGCACGCCGCGCATACGATGTATTATCACATCACGGGAATACATCACGCCTCAAATCTCCTCCTACACGGGTAGAGTTCAAGCGTACTTAATCCTGCGAGCTGTCGTCGCGAATAGTCGTTGCGTGTCCTGCAAATCGTGATAAGCGTTGACGCTTCGATATCGGAAGGAACGGGACTTTCATTTCTATCTCATTTATTTTAGTTATGTCTTTATATTATCGGGCATATCGTACGCGCGTTTTTGTTATAATAATGTATGTCTCCGAGATACAGCTACGACGCTCTATAGCTTAGTAGTAGAAAGACAGGATATATAAGGTTTCCTTATACACACTTCTACTACCAAGCAACGTTCTCTTTTTTTTCAGTTTGCGAGATACGAAAGCGCGCCTTCACTATCCTATTCGAAAGAGATCATAGGAAGTATAAATTATAATTGTACGTTAAGAGCAACGGCGCCGTATATATATTGATACTTTGTTCTCAGTATTGTTTCATCTTCGCGACGCGATAATGATTCTGTTTACTCTACCAAGGGGATGAGGCTTACTAGAGAAAACTAGATCGTGGAAACTACGAGCACATGTGTACATGCATAAGAAATTGTCTCGACTAAGGAGGGGGATTCATTACTCGAGAAATGTAAAAGTTAATCACGACCGCATCGTCAGACCAATGACTATTGTTTAATGACCTATCGTTTAAACTTAACGTGTTTAATAATCCGCAACTATAATTCCAGTGCAAAAGATACACATAGGTACATTTGCGTATTTTTACTATTTGCTAACCGACTTTATTTTGGTTACGTATAAAAGAAAAATGAACCGACGGACTACTTAAATAATGCATAAACCGCGTAAAAGGAAAAAAAAGAAGCAGTAGGACTTAGTGCGTAAGTAAATGGACTCTAGTGAAAGGAAGCAGAGCTCCCGCGTTTAACTAAACGGGGCAGATGTGTGCGTGGCTACACGCGCGTACGCGCGCGTATGCGTGCGTCTATTACAGTTAGGCACAGGTTAATAGTTAAAAAGATATGAAATATTTTTACTGTGATGATAATAATGTTTATACGATGATCAAATAACTATGACTTGTATCATAACAATTGCAATGTTAATTATCCAACGTTTTATAACAGAAATTTAACAGAAAAAGAAGGAAGAGAAATGGAAGGGGCGCGACGTCCTCCTCCGCGTATGCGTAAGCTAAGTCAACGTTCCGTTTATTTAATTAACTCTTTGTTTCTTTTTTCCCTTTCTTATCTTATCCTTTCTTCATTCGTCTCAGCCACCATCGAGTACGACCGGTAAATCTGTATACATGGTGCTATACTACTTACCATCACGCTTTATCATCTATCTACTCTTTAATAAGACTGCTCAGCGGCGCGAGGTATATTTCGCTATTCATCGTCGCTCCTTCGCCATCCGCCACTCGCATCTCATGTGTATCATTCTCATCGTATAGAAACATGTCCATATAATATAATGAGGTACTTTTTAAACTGCCAATTAATTCTTAATGCCATATAAAACAATGCATTTCCTTCGATTAATTTTTATAAACGAGGAGGATCAAGGAACAATCTATTTACACGCTTAAGGTTTTTTACTCTCATTGTCACTTCCATTTAGCGTACGTTCGTTATAAACGGATATATAGCGGCAGCTTATCTGGGATGAGGTGTACACACGTTCTTTTTTTAATTTTCTTTTTACACGTAGAATTTCGTTGACAAATCGAATTTTATGTTCCTGTTCCGTGAAGGACGCCAGCTATCCTGTTCCGTAGGATGCATTAGTGAATCGCATTAATAATAAACGCTAAACAGGGTGATTTTTACGTTGACCAAGAGCAGAAGCCGTCGTCTCTCTCGCCCTTGCATAAGTTAAAATCGGCTGTGCTTCTACTTTCTGAAATCTCGACACTGCGCCAGCGCTGATACGATGACACGTTAACGATACATTCTACATTAGAATGGCGTTAAAGAGGACATTCTACAGTCGATCACGCCGGCTGTGTCGAATTCGGCATCGATGAACGGATATAAATATTTCAGTCAGTGACGAAGCACGGATAAATCTTAACGTATTTAATTTTATTTAAAAATAAAAAAAGAGAAAAAATAACGAAGCACATTGGTCGAAGACTGTAAAGTAGGATGGATGTGACAGCGGACTTTTTTACAAATAACGTACGAATCATTAGTGACCTTACGAAAATCACGATGTTCGTATTTTAGAATTTCTTACTGATGAATTAACGTAACGTTCAAAGCGATAATTATTAATTTTTTTTTTATAGTTACGTATTTACAGGCAATCGGAATTGATTGAAAGTATGTATGAATGATTTTTAGAGATTAATTTATAACAATTTCTCCTAAATTATCGCTTTAGGCCTAGTTAAATGCGAGTTATATTGAAAATGTCGAAAAAAATTAGAACACAGGAAGAGAGTGAGGAATAAATAATTTTATAAAATTATTTATTACTCGCCATTTGCGTACTATTTGAGATAACTGTACAAGTTTTTTTCTAACATAGATCGTGCGAAGAAAACACGGGAAATGTGGGTACAATTTCTAAATTCGCCATAACATCTAGCCCTGCTAATAGAATACATATCGATATCATGAAATTTTTCAGAAAAAAAAAATGAGGAACTTGACTTATTATTATTGTAAGGCTATAATTAATTTGTACAAGATCAACTTATTGTAATAAAGAAACCAATCTTGCCTATAAGTTTCACCTCTTTTATTAACATCTATTGATCTTATTATTATGTAACAAAAATGGATTTGTCCATATTTTATATGAAATCTTTGGGAACATACAAAATGTTCTTTAGTAATCTATAAAAACGAAGAGAAGAAATGTTGAAATGGAAAATACAGGGAGAAAAACTGAATTATTTCACTTCGAAGTCGCAGAATGATACTTACGTTCCACGTTCTCAAACATCGATACGACTCTTCTTCTCATTAAAATCAATTATTAATATTTTTGCAACGCTAACGTAAGTAGTTCGTTCATTGGTGTCAGTAGTATACGCGGATCTTCAATCAGGCCGGCCCCAACCATGGCACCGTTAAACAACTAATAAATAATTCGACTTATTAACAATGTTCCAATAAATTTCATTTACGTACAACTTCAAAACGCTTCAATATCTCGCTGACGTACCTGCTGTATTAGGCGATCAGCTAATTCGGCATCCGTAGTCGTTAACTTACACAACTTTTTGATGAGTGGATGATTCGGATTAATTTCAAAATGCGGCTGAAGAATGGAGTAACGCATCTCCTCGTTCATTTGATGGCTCTGCGTGCGAATAAAGTGCCTCGCGCTCGCCATGTCCTGTACAGTTACAACGCACGGATGCGATTCCAAACGATTTGTCATCTTAACGTCATACGCCTTCTTGTTAAGGATTTTTTTCATGTAGTTTACAAGACTATCCAATTCATCCTTATTTATAATACCTGTTAGGAAGATAAAATATGAATAAAAACATTGTCAAGTTTCTGAATAATTTATAAATGTAATGTTCATTTATTCCCTACCTAAATTTTCCGGCTTGTTTGCCTCTTTATCATCGCGCATTTCTTTCTCCACGGATGTCAAGAAATTGGATTTATACTGTTTCAAGTGCATCAACACTAACTCATCATATGGCTCGTAACAGAACAGAACTTCGATATTTCGTTTCTTCAGAGATTCGTAATACGGCGATTGTTCGGCCAAAACTCGACTGTAAAACGAAAGTGAGTTTTTCGAATTATCGGTCAATGTATGTCATGCGAGTAGTTGTTTGTATTTCACTGTACCTCGGCGCTGATAAATAATATATATCTTTTTGGTCTTTCGCCAGACGACTGCAATATTGCGGCAGACTGACCAGCTCACCTGGAGCGGCAGCGGAAGATTCAAAGCGCAGAAGTTTACCTATATCTTCCTGCGACAAAACACGAGATTGACAAGTTAACATAATGAATTACAGGTACATACGCAGAATGCAATTAATCCTTACCCTCTCGGACTGATCGCTACTAGTGACAATGCCTTCTTTCAAGAACAAGCCGTAGGCCTTGTAAAACTGATCATACTCCTCGGGCTGCTTTGTGGATCGCTCGTGCAGGAATTTCAATATACGAGCAGTCAATACGTTTCGTAGTTTTCTACAAAAGCCACGTGTCATATTTATTTTCCTTTTGTATATTCCATATAATGAGCGATACAAGTATCGAGTATCGATTCTTACCCAATTAATGCACTATTTTGCAGTAGCTCACGACTTAAATTCAACGGTATGTCTTCTGAGTCGACTACTCCCTTTACGAAGCGTAACCATTTCGGTAAGATGTTCTCCGCCTTACTTTTAATAAGAACCTTTCGACTATAGAGCGACACTCCGCTGGTAGTGTCTCTTGCCAAGTCGAACAGTTCCGGCTTTCCCTCAGGAAAGTATAAGAGAGCCTTGATGCTCAATGGTACGTCAGTCGAGTAATGCAATATAAATCGTGGGGCATCAAAGCAATTTCCTACGAATCGATAAAATTCCGCGTGCTGTAACGGCGTCACATCTTTCGGATCGGACATCCACAGCGGCTGCAAAGGAAAATATTTATCTTAGAGGATAAAAATCACAGCAGAAATGAAACAGATATAATGCTTTCCATAGCAATACCTGAATTGTATTAGCTTTCTTTCCATTTACAAAAATGGGACTGCCGACAAAATTGCTATACTTATTAATGACACCTGCGAATTAATCATGCTTTTGTATCGTAAAACGAAAGTATATACATAAACAAATAAATACATAATGTTGGGAAAAGTTGCCGCTAGACTTCAGGAGCACGTAGTTAGTATTCATAAAAACAAAAAAAAAAGACTAATAATTTTTTGATCCATGTTTATTAAGACTTTTTAAAAAATATGTTTAATATAAGTTGTATATTTCGAGAGCCTGTATATATAGAATTGTTTTTGTTGCGTTGGCTGAAGTATAGCGCTGCTCGATCAAAATAAAATTTATATATTTATTGTGTTGCGAGGTTGTCGAAGTGCTGTCGAGGTTTCAGTGACCGAATTGACACGTCGTTCTAACTGGCAAGTGAAGAGATCCGGGTTCAACTATTGACTGAGATAGTATTTTCCACAATTTTAATCAAATAAAAAATATGTAACCATGGGATGTGTAATATAAGAGTTAATTAATATTAAAAACTGAGATTCTCAAATTTGGTTTGATGGCAATCTGAATTTATAAAGATGTGCCGTTTCCTTGTAAGAGATGTTCGTGTAATTCATATGCTGCATCTCCCACTAAATGACTGTTAGAGAGAAATTATTCTTCATAATTTAAATATGCAGCTACTTTGTAATGCCTAAAAACTTTTTGGTCATCGCGTACGTTATAAAGAGTGGAAAACTTACCCGGCGCATACGTTAATACTGTCAAACATTATTCTCTCAGCATTTAGCAAATATTCGCTCCAACATCAGAGTTCAGCTCTTACTGGTTTAAAAAACTTTTTTATTTGATTTCATGAGTATTACGTGCTCCTCGAGTTTGGCTGCAACTTTTCTCAACACCCTATATATATCTGTTTACTAATATACTTACGATTGATTGTATTCTCGTCGCTGAATTCTCGGCAGTCCGGTTTCAGGTATATAACAATTTTTGTGCCTGGTTGCACACCATCAGCGTTCGAAATCTCAAATGTGCCCGACCTACGAATAGATATACTGTATTCATAATACTACATATTCAATGAGATATATTTGTCACTTACCCATCCGAAACCCAACAAAGACCTTCAGCATCTTTTGTAAATGACTTTGTAAATACTTCCACTTTGTCAGCGACCATAAAAGCACTGTAAAATCCAACACCAAACTGACCAATAATTTTAGAAGTGTCGTTTGAATCTTTATCTTCCTTCAATTTTTCTAGAAATGCCTGCAGAATAGGTACATTGTAACTTCTTTCCTTGAAAACTTTAGATTTTATATTTTGTGAAATTATATACACAAATATACAAGCTCATTGATATTTGCCTTAGAGCCAGATCGTGCTATAGTTCCCAAGTTGGATATTAATTCCTCCCTAGTCATCCCCACACCAGTGTCTTGAATTGTAAGAGTACGGTTTTGTTTATCAGTACCTATATGTATCTCTAAGCTCCTGGCACCGGCAGTTTCCGCAGCTACATTATCACTTAATCTCAAGTACCGTAATTTCTCCAAAGCATCACTAGCATTTGACACAAGCTCTCTCACAAATACCTAAATAATAAATTAATCAATTTAAATGTATACTACAAAGTGTATATTAAATATTTTCAAGAAATTTATATAACATAACCTCCTTATCTGAATATAAAGATTTAGCCACAATCTGCAACAACATTTGTGTCTCCGATTGAAATTCATGTGTGGCACTTTTACCTATAATTTTTAAATATTTCGTAAATGCCTTGTACAATGTAACTCTTTAAAAAATTTTTAAAAAATAGATGCAACGACTTTAAAAGCACAAATTACCTGTCGCTTTTTCTGTATCTGTTATAATATTGTGGTATTCTGTAGTTTGAACGTCTGGTTGTGAGGACAAATATCTCACGTGATTGCAGGTAGCAACTGCAAAATTAAAAATAATCTAAATATATATTGACATATAACAAAAATACATCTTTAACCGGTGTTTTTTTCTATGTAATAACTATTATAAGAAGAAATATAAAATAATATAAACATATAACCTCAAAATATGACAAATCCATTTACAGATGACAAAGCGAAAGATTAACAAACCTGGTAGTCGTAGACATTGCAACTGGAATAATTTTTTCTCTAAGTTGTTATTTAACGATTTCGACAGATATCTTCCTAATATAACAGCGTGTTTAAGCCTCAAGGTAGCAGCCATTTTTCACGTGCAACATATACTAGAGAACCTCTCTCACTCTCTCTCTCTCTTCGGCTGCAGGCCTAATGGCTCCTGCACACAGGACGCGGTAATGCTTGCCGCGCGGCGGAAGTTCGCGCAAAAGCCAATCAATATTCTGCTTTCCATAATAACCTTCTAGCTTTTACTGAAAAACAACATATTGATTGGCTGTCGCGCGGACTTCCGCCGCACGACAAGCATTATCGCGTCCTGTGTGCAAGAGCCATAACTTAGACCATGACGGAAAGGTAAACGTTACGCATATGCTTTGCACAGACAGAACACTGATATTGATACAGAAAAAGACAGACGAGCATTGTCTGCACCATAATGTTGCGGTACCGCCAGTGTTGTTAACTTGGATAAACAATTCGCATATGCGCGACGATTAGCGTATCAAGAAAGTATCTAAAGGCCAAATCACACTAGCGATTGATGATTGACAATTAAAGATTAGATTTTAACGAATCCACAAGCTTCAATCTTGGCTTGTTTTGTTTCAATTGGTCAAGTTTCAATCTTCAATCGTCAATCATCTATCGTCAGTCGTTAGTGTGATTTGGCCTTAAGGCGAATGATACAGGATACCGTTCGGCGCCCTCTTACATAACAAGACAATTTTAAAGAATTTTGATAAAATATAACATATATCTTTTAAGATGGAATAATATTATAAGGCGGAATATATATTTACATACATTTGCCAAAGAAAAAGAGGCAAATAAGAGTTAACGCCAGTGACAGGGCAAAAATTGATTATATATTAGTACAATAAAAATTACAATTCGTATACGTTTCGGTCCGGATTTGGATCCTCTTCAGTACATAGTAAAGCAGTTAAAATTAAGAATCCGTCAACACGCCGAAGCCACCCAGATAAGTAAACGACTGTTTCCTTTAAATCAAGATAGAATAAAGACCCCGCACAAAACCTATGGAAAATGGTTTTCGGTCAAATTGGCTGAAATTTCACTATGTTATATTATAGTTTTCGCCATGCTGATAAAAAGTTATCATTGCACCAAGTCCAAAAGTCAATATTTCCCAAGATATAAAAGGTCAAAGTAGTGAAATATGGTCATCCGCAGTAGTAAGACGTATGTTATAAGTATAAGTGATACATTGATATTTATTCACGAAATAAATAAAAATCGATTTTTACATATATATATGTAATAAATATTTAGTTCCGCAATATATATGTATATGTATATGTATATATATGTATATGTATATACAGGGTGGGGCAAAAGTATCGAACCGGTGAAATATCTCGAAAAATATAAGTTTTACAAAAAACTGTTTCAGATCTTAAAAAGATCTATTGTATTTACTGATTTTAGCAGATTGATCTTGGATGCCGTTGCCAAGGTCAAAAATCAATTGTTTTCACGCCTACTCGCGATATTTTTTTACGTTAGGAGAGTTTTTCAGAATGCATTCACACTTAGAATATTCCACTTTACTTTTTCTCGATGTTTAAAAAAAAATCTTAAATAGAACAAATCAACATTTTTTAAGTAGTGATGTTTAACTGGTGATGAAACGCGGTAATTACCTGTCGCGGTAAAGTTTGCAAAGAAGAATACGCGTCTTAATTTGTTTTAATTATCGCCTCAATTGTCGCGAAGTCAAAATGCAGTATTAAAAATTGGCACGAAATAATCTAGAAAATAACGCGGCAGCTCCCGATATGCTCGTCTCGACGGTTGAGAGTGTTATGGCGTGACGTTCGAGCACGTGCTCATGCACGGATGTTTACATGACCCAGCCGCGCGCTTCCCCCAGCGCTGCTCAGTCAGCGGCACGAGCGGGCCGTTACGACGGCCGTTCACCTAGGCTTTGTGGAGCCTAGAGTTTTTGTTAGAGCCCAGGTATTGTTATTACCGATTATTCGATCATCATTATTTCGTTATTATCCACTCGCGGATATTATCACACGATTGTCGCACAGATATTATTATCACTACCATTTAATATTCAAGTATTATAACTTCTTTATTTGGTTATTATTTAATCTATTTGATTATTATTTAATTATTGCTATTACGTATAGGAAAGCAACTCGGGCGTGCCATTACGACAATTTCTTTATCTCATCTCTCATCAGTTATTATCGCCGTTGCCCAGTTATTGTTATTCATTGTCATTACCGATTATTCGATTATCGTTATTCCATTATTATGCACTCGCGGATATTATCACATGACTGTTGAACAGATATTATTATCACTAACATTTATTATTCGAATATTATTATATAGTTGCTTCCCTATGCGTAATAGCAATAATTATAATTATCGAATAATTATTTTTCTACTTGTTAGATAGAGGAACGTCGCGATCAAGTTCCTCAATGCGTATTTGTTGACACTGTGTTGTCTCAGTGTTATCACTTGGCTATCTGGGTAGCGATCCCAAAAATCCTCAGATATCGATTAAAGAAAGGAAATGGTTGTGTAGAAAAATTCGTGACTTAAAGAGTTTATATTTAAAATAAGAGATATATAATATATAAACGTGTATGGAATACAGTTCCAGCCTTGAAAACTGCGCAACGACACATATCAATCCGACAGTTGTTGGTAAGAGTTTATTTAGAAGCCATTATCTTTTTTTAATATTTTTGAAGAAAATTTTAATGTATAGCGAATTTTTCAAGTCATGCTAATTCCCGTAAGGCTGGATATTTTTAATAGTACTTCGTTAATATTAATGTGCGTAATTCGTATTCGAATCTTTTCGATTCGAAATTTTCCAAATTATTCGGATTCGAATCATAGGAATTCAAATTCGAATCGAATCGAATTTCACTTGATTCGATTCGATTCGAATTTGAATAGTTCGCACATCTCTACTGTAAGTTAAATCAATAAAAAAATCAGATTTATACATAATATAATAACAATAATTATACCGTTTTATTAAATTCACTGCTATTTTAGCACACACACAATAGAAAAATTATATAAATATAAATTAATAGTATAATTAAAAATTATTTGAAAAAAGCTACTTATTTACCTTTAATCCTTTATTTACATCAGCGATTATTGCTGAAGTATAAATGCGTGAGGATGACAAAGACCGTGGGTAGTCAATTGATCACAGACAGTCTCATGCGAACCACGATACAGTTTAGATGCGCGTTCGATTGCGGCAACGCGCCTTGTTTCCCACAGTGTAATCAATATTTGTGGCATAATATTACATATCGAAATTAACAAGTATCGAATAACCACAGTCGAATAGAACATTTGGAAATTCCAGCGAAAATGAAATTTTTACTTTTAAAAAGCGGATTTGAGTCAAAACAGTATCGCGTTTCTCAAGAACAATGCATACAGCGCATGAAGCCGTTCCTATTGCTATTTAAACTATGCGGAATGTTCGCCAACGAGATTACAAAAAATCGTTTAAAATGTTGCTCTTGGCCCTTTTATAGTATTTGTGTTTTTTGGTTAATCTTGTATGTTTCGTATCTTACCTTTCTTCTGTATCATTTCACAAAAGAGGAATCCATCAAAATAAGATTAACAATAGAATTCATCAAACATTTAATAGGATATATAAGTCTCTGTATCAACACCATAGCTGCTTATGTCACGCAAGAAGGCTTAATCAAGGTGAGAAGAACATCACAGTACAAAATAGTTTAAATTAATGTTTTCTACCATATTTTCCCGCTTTTTATCTTTACGAAAACTACTAAAACTTAACATACCTAGATACATGATAAATGGGTGAAATATATAAGAAACTTTATAATACTTATTATTATAATTACTGTTTGATAAAAAGTCGACTACAATCCATTCAGGAGAAGTGCTCAGTCTCATTCTGATTGTGTGGTCAATATTTCAACCACACACAGAAATTTGTTTTTTTATTAAAATATTTGTAAATAAAAATTTAAACTTTGTATAAATACAAAAAATTGTTTATTTGCACCAATCTGGTGTATTGGCAGTTACACTCATATAAAAAAAAATTATAAAAATATTAATTTATATTACATACGCAGATATCATACTTTTATTTTTTGAGAAATATTTTTTATGGCAAGTACTTACATGGTTATGTGTAGACTTATTTTCCATTACATAACAAAAGTTACTAATAAAGTTCTTTGTTTTTAATTGTTTTTTTTTTTTTTTTTGTAAAACAATAGACATTTTGGACCTTAGGTGAAGTGGTTAAAATATGGATCACAAACTTATAAAAGATTAAATAATTTGTAATTTGTATCTTGTGTGAGTCACGCAATTTGGTTACTTGATATAATTACATTTTCATCTTAAAATTTAACCTTTTTTTCTCTTTCTCGCTATCTCTCTGACATATGTTTTTACTACAGTTTTTTGATCGATTGGAAAGTTACGACAATGAAGTCGCACGGATGAGGAACGCCAGAAAAGATAATATGTGGGTGCTTCGGCTTGTTACATTTGCATCGGTCGCTATTAATTTGTCGCTCGTGTATCTAGTCAAAGTCGATCCGGCGATTGGCATCATGTACTACGTGACACTTTCGGATATCTGTACGACCATTATGCATATATTCGGCACTCTATCTAAGTTTCTCATGTTGTATTTGCTGTTGGAACGTTTTAAGCATCTGAACAGAAAGATCGTGCCGAACATATCGTGGGACGACAAGCGGTGCGGTCCGAACATAATCAAAATCCTAGACGTGAAGATTCTGTATTCGATGCTGTACGACGCTCAACAGTCCTTTTGCAATATCTACAATAATCCTCTCTTGATATGGTTTGCGTCGCTCATGATACACGTTATTGCTAACATACGTATTTTCCGGGAGGAGTCATTGATCGCAGGCTGCGCCTTCGTATGTCCTCCAATTTTGCAGGTGCTGACGCTATGCATGATTTGCCATTACACAGCCGAAGAGGTATTAAATCCCACTTTATTTGTAAATAAGTCTCGTTGTACTTTCCGACAATTAACGTCTCATTCATAACGTTCGTCGCTCTAAACGCTCACACGTTTCAGGCGAACAAAATTGCTTGTATCTTGAACGAAGTCATGTGCACTCTCGTTAGCTCGGGCCAGACGATGGTAAAAACAAGTATTTGACGAGTATTAAGAAGGTGCCATCATACAGTTTCGTAATTTGCACGGTTTTTCTATTTGGTTGCAAATAATTATAAATGCTTTTGCGCAGTGAAAGTACAAATGTCATGGAAAGACAAACATTATTAGAAGAGAAATAGTATCAGAAATAAATTTTTTTATTTACAAAAGGTTTTTATTTATCCTTGATATAATATATGATATCTTTCCATGCATTGACATTTATATTTTCATTCTGTAAAAACGTTTGCAATTCTATGCTACCAAATGGAAAAGCAGTGCAAACTATAAAACTGTATTATGTCGATATCCAGCATTATGTCAATATCCTTTAAGAGGATGTCATACTTGAAAACTTTGCCGATAAAATTTTATTAATAATTTTTCTATAAAATTTACGCGTATTGGTTGGAAGAATTATAAATACTTTTACACAGAAAGTACGTGCAAAAATAAATTGGAGTTTATTTAATATGTGACAGAAACAATAAAAAATTTCGAAATTAACATCTCGAGTTGTTCAATTAGCGTAAATGTTTTTCTGATGCAAAAATTCTGTAGCTTATATACTCGACTATTAAACGATTTCCATACGTTTTATCGAGTAAAGTTATAACTTTTAAAGTTGTCAAAATTGAAGGCTACTGTTGACATATATGTGCAGTAATCGGTTATAAATATATAACTCTTTTCAAAAAATAATGTCCTCTTAATTTAAAATAAATTTTTTCTTTCAAAATTCACAAATATCATGAGTGTACTGTTACTTCCGTCATAACTAATTACTACACATACACGGTGGCTTTTTGACAACTTGCAACTTCATTGGATAAAATGTATGCAAACAATCGATTATACATACCGAACGTGTATGTTCTGCACAGGAAAATTTTGGAGAACTCACTGCTGTACTTTTACAACTGAATTTAGAAACTTGAAACGTTTGCAGAAAAATTTCTATATATCTCCAAAGTTATGATTTCCACTCAATATGATAAAGCAAATATTTATATAAAATCTGTATGTACAGAGAGATAGTGCAAGAAATACAAAAATGAGAGCAAAAATAATAATCATGTTATTGCTTATCTGATATGATGTTCTGTCGATTTATCGGTATTTTTGGAGTTTGTCATCTACTTTGGCATCCTCTTAAACGAGTATAACAAATGCGTAACTTTTTATCTACTTTTTATCTATTTTTTACTAGATTTTCTCTTGTTGCAGGTGAAAATTGACACCTTCATATATTTCTTACACAATCGCGTGTCTTTTGAGGCGGCGGGGTTCTTTACAATCGATTTGCCACTGTTTCAATCCGTAAGTGTTCCCTTGTCTTACTTACGAATTAAGTTAAACACACAAAAATTGATAGTGGGTTTGTTTTCAGATCGTCGCGTCAATAACTACTTATTTCATAATATTGATATAATCTCCTCGCCGAAATAGATTTATTTTAACGTGAATTATTCTCTCTCATGATAAATATTAAAAATTCGAAAGGTGTGCAAAGTGTATATTAATATATCCTTAATCGCGTCAGTCAGTAATAGTCACAATGTAGAATTGATAACAGCGTTGACATAGATTCCGCACGGGCGTAACGAACGTTTGTATAAAAAGTCACGTAGCTTCTACAGAATGATTCAAAACAACTGTCTTTGAAATGTCATAATTTTGCAATCCTCAGACGATTTTTCCTTTTGCAAAATATTATCCGACGCTTAATTTTCGTTTGCGCGCGATTTCTAAAAATAAATTGTTTGTAAAAGTGTTGAAACAAACATTTGTTTTCCAAACTACGGTTTATTATAAAGTGATAAATTCATCATTATCATAAGATAAACAATCCCTACAAAGGAATACAAATTCAATTGTTTTAATATTAATTATCTTAAAATTAAAAATATCTGTTATATTGTTTCTCAAACTGTGATTAACACTCCGTCTTTCATTCGTATTTTCAAAGTTTATTTTCTAATTAGATAAAATTCGCGTAATCATTTACGAATTTTCTTTGATTAATAGCTTAGAATTTTACATGGTTGTTCGCAAAATGGTAGAAAGGTTTTTTGTTTAGTTTGACATAATCTACCTGTACACCGCGGCTTCTCTGTAAGTTAGCGGACACCCTGTATATCAATCACACTAGGAGTAAATAAGCGTCTGCGTCCGATGGTGAATAGTATCGCCTCTGTCTACCACGTGTACTTGACTTGTAAACTATTTATTTTTCTAACTCGGAAGCACTAAGTTTCAGATGACATCTCGCAAAAGTAAAAATCGTTTCAGAATTCCTTCAAGATTATGATATTTTAACGACATGTAGTTGTTTTGAATCATCCTGTATACCGGCTTTTTTATACGTGGGCTCGCGTGTTCCAATGTAAAACAAGACCATAACGTGATGCGTATCATTAGTAAGACTAATGCTCTTGTTACATTTATTAGCTAACGCGCCGCAAATGGATTTACAATGTTATGCGCGCGACTCAGACGATCGTCAGCGATTGTGTCAGTGCTCTGTCAGACAATTGTAATCTTTGTCTTCTATCGCACTGGTTGCATTGGAATACAATACACCTACCCGCTTTATCGGAACATAATTTAACGCGAGACATAAAAGAAATCGAAAGAAAAAAGAGAGTAGGAAAAAAACGATAATCTATATAGATCTCAGTCGCATCAATATGCCCGCAATCATTAGAATGTTACGTGAATCGGTTAGCTTCGCTTTAGTCGCAAAGAAACGAGCTTGTCGAAAACTGTCGCGCGATCTGAAACAGTAAAATTACTCATCATGACGGAATCGATATCGTCAGTAAAAGCGCCTTTCCAAAATCTCAAATTCTTGGTTATAATTAACAAATTAATGGGTTTGATTTCTTGTAAATTGAAAAAAGGCCGACTCAGGCCAAGCAATATCTGGACCCGTCGTTCCTGTTTATTTTGGATATTGTTTCATTGTGCGTACACCTTTATGAACTATTATAAGTGGTGCACGCAGTCTGATATCGAGACTCTTTTCTTTCTTAATATCATGCGGCTTAATTGCTTCGTCGTTTCATTGCTCCCTTACCACTACGTGGCGGCCTTTCGGAGTCGAGATGTCGTTAAGGTGAGTGAGCTCGTAAAACCTCAAATTGCAATCAAGCGTATCAGGAAATGTGATATATCAAAATGACACCTTGAAAGTGACCACCACGGAATATCTCACACGAAGAAAACGCTAAGGATATCACTCGCCTAAATATGGTTGACATATTTAGGTATACAAAATATTAATGTTGGTTTTCGCTCATGTATACAAGATGGTGTAGTAACTATAGTACTTTGGAAGTGGTATACTAACCTTCTTTACTGCCTATTAAATTATTCATATGTGTATATTAAGTTAAACTGGAAAATTAAAGATAGTTGTGTGCGATAATGCACTAATCTTTTTTAATTAATAACCAAATAACTATGTGGTTATTTGGGAAGTGGTAGAGGACTTTCTTGTTCAGTTTAACCTAATGTACAAGCATACAGTAACAAACGTCGCCATCACAACCCATCTGCCGTATTATTCACGAATAATACGTCAATACGGCGCGTGATTATTCACTAATCTTCTTTGATTAATAACTTAAAATTTTACATGCTTGTTCATAAAATGATAGAGGAACTTTTTGTTCAGTTTGACCTAATCTACATGTACACCACGATTTTCGTTCATGTATACAAAATGGTTTCTCTGTGAGTTACTGGACACCCTGTATATGATAAGAACTACAGCTGTAAGAACTGTATAGATGGACATGTAATAACAACAACTTTTATAATACCATATTTATTTTATTTTAAATCACGTAAATTTTCTTTCTAGTCATGTAAAATATGGATACAGCAACTATAGTAGTTTTTCTCCGTGTGCATGATTGTCACAGTTCTCCGACATACTCGAAACGTATGACGACAAAGCGACTCTACTGGGACATCGGAGAGAGGACAAACACATGTTCATATCGCTGTACTTCACGTATACACTCACTATACTAACCATAAAGACGTATCTCAAGTTCAGTCTGAGCATAAAACAAGGAACAATAGCAATGTTAATGGTGATATTCGAAGACATCATCCCTGTTATAATTGGTACTTACTGCATCTTCATCACCGTCATATATCTGGATCTGATACGTCAACGTTTTCGTCATCTGAACAAGACTATAGTGCCGAAAGTGTCGGAGTTACCGGTGACTGGATCGCAGGGCGAGATTACGGTTTACGATGTGCGTTATTTGCACGGCGTGCTCATCGATAGCGCGGAACTGATAGACGATTTGTATGGCTTTGGCACCTTGACTACTTTTATATCTATGTTATTGGAATTTGTCGCGGTTATATACCTATCCATAGAGAAAATGGAGGAGGACAATATGACGATACTAACGATGTTGGATTTATCCTTTCAAACTATTTACTTATTCGCAATGTATCACTTCGTGGCTTTAGAGGTAAACAAAGAAATGCATTATCGTACCCAATCATGCATCAATCTTCTTTAATTAACTTAATAACTTTAATTAATTATTAATTTAATAACTTAATTAACAATAATAAATAAACTTAATAACTTAATAAGTCTATGTAAAATGGTAAAGGACTTTTCTGTTCAATTTGATTTAATATATAATACAAGCACACGACGGCGCACATCGCCATTAAAGTTCATCTACCGTATCGCGCGCGTGATCATCTATCAATTTTCTTTGATTAATAATTCAAAATTTTACGTAGTTGTTTGCGAGATAGTAAAGGAATTTTATGTTCAATTGGATGAATTCTATATCCATACCGCAGCTATATAACGAATTGTCGAATACCCTGTATATGCAACACTTTTAAACTTTATCTCTGTATCACAGAGATGTATCACAGAGATGTCACAGAGAGTAATGACATGTATCAAAACTTCGCATACATCATTCTAAACGTTTAAAGTACATGTATACAAAAATAGAAATTTTTGTCATTGCTTTTTTATTATTTTTTCCTTTTTACTGAAGATAGCAACATCATATATTTTAATTTAAAATATTCTTAAGTAATAGAATGACGTCAAATTAAATATTATTGACATTACAAATGTCATTAATGTGTCTTTACAACGTCATTTGACGTCATAATGTTTGCTAGGCTTGCACTTCAAAGTGTAATAACTTTTTATCCAAACTCTGAATCAATGTCAAATGTCAAATGTTTCTGATGAATTTTAGATATAATATAGATTAAATTTTTTCTTTATTTTTGAGATATGGATAATATAGCTTTAATACTAACTGTAATGATCGCCAAAGTATTCGATTATTCAATGCCTCGTTTTGTTTTGATAAAATATGTAAATTACTCTTAATTATCTGTCGATAATTTCATGCAGTATTATTATTATTGTTGTTGTTATTATTATTATTATTATTACAGGCGAATCGCATCGGAGAGAGTGTAGAGAAATATGGGCTATCATTCCAAAATACAAAATGCCGCATAGTAAGTTTCAAATTTATGTGAGACCAATTCATAAATTATTTAATAAAATTGACCGATTTCAGGATAAAATCGAGATGATGCTGTATTTTTATCACGCGAGATTTTATTTCACAGCCGTCGATTTTTTCATTTTGGATTTTACACTTTTCCTCTCGGTAAATCAATCTTCATTCGATTTGTTACTATTGAAAAATATTCTATAAATTTTCATGTTTCAGATATCTTCTACAGTCGCGACGTTTATAACTATAATAATATAATTTTTGCAATAAGCTGAAAAAATTTATTGGAGAAAATAATATTGTAAGAGAAAACTTTTATGTAAAAATGTAACATATGATAACAAACACACACATACACACACACACACACTTTGATAAAAATAACACGTTATTTAAATGAGGGCAGCAAGGATTTCATTTATTACAAAAAAGACCTTAAACATAAAATTCAATACATCAATAACATATTGGATACATATATTTACAGAATGCGTTCTTACACGCATAATTAATTTGCACGAATATACGAGAAGTGAAACGAATATAAGTGTAGAAGATAATCGTTAAAATTATGTAACTTAAGATATGAATAAATTGAAAATGAAAGACTTCCTTTATCTTTTATTTTCACATGTTACTAGTTTTACTACTAAAATAACTAAGCAAATTAAACGTTGAAAAGGTATCTATTCATCAAACGGCAGCACAATCGGTAGGCTCGCTTCTTTTCGGTCCTCTAAATAACTTCATAAAATATCATCGATTTAAATTAGAGCAGGGTAGAAAGTCACGTCAATCTTAGCGTTCTAGCTTCACCACATCATATCTGTTTCCGAATTGCTGCGCGCCAGAGGATTCAGACATAAATTTTTGAGAACTTGAACAGCCTCCTCCCCATCGTCCTTCGCGTACAGAGTCGTTCGTTTTGCGCTCGTTTTAAGAGATTTCCTGCCGAAAGTATCCACCAGCGAGCTCACTTTGATCCCCTGCCTTTTAGGTGACCTGGCTGTTTTCTTCTGGAAAGAGTTCTTCGAGGACAGCGATCCCACTTTCGACGTGGTGAACGACGAGCGGCGATGCTTCTTCCTGGATAACCCGTCATTAATCGCATCCAAATGCGCCACCGATTTAATCGTAGATCTTTTGACGTTACGATCGATGTCTCTCGCAATGATCATCGTGCGATCCGGCTGTGGCGCCTTTCTCTTCGGCTGGTTTCGTCGTCGCACGTTTGGAAGCGTGCGAGGACTTTTGTAGATGGGTCCTAAGGTACCCACTATCCTGCGGCTTAAACGCAAAGGCTCTAGAATCTCATGGTCCTGCCAGGTCGCCACAACGGGTAAGCCGCAGGCGTTGTGCATACCTACCAA